GCCCTTGCGGCCATGCCCCTCAAGCTATGCCGTTATGGCTTCATATTGTCTTTGATAAGAAGTGGAAAAGGAAGGAAAATGTTTTTTTTTATTGTTTGTTTGGTAAAAAAATAATACGTATATATATATATATATATATTTTTCAAAATCAAACCCTTTTAAATGTAAAAAAAATTCATTCAACTTAAATTATTATTTTTATTTATAGTTTTATCTTCAATTTTTTTCTTCTGTTTTCTATATTTGTAAAAAATAAAATAAAATTCATATTTTTTATTTCTTTTCTGTTTATACTTTTTTTCTATTTTCTATCATTTGTAGCTAAAATAATAAATAAAAAATAACTTTCCTCGGTTCTTTAATTTTTTTTTCTTACTCAACACCACAATTTTCCTTCGTTCTAACAAAACATCTTCAGTGGGGCCCGGCCCGACAGTCTCCTCACATTGGCTCTCCCACTTGTCCAAATTGTACCAATACAACCAACGGCAGAGCCGGATCCGGCTTCAGGCCCCAGCCTCGGTTTTCATGATGGCAAGTTTGCAAATTATTGCACTTGGATCGACCGTATGTACACCATCCTTGACGGCTGAAATTTTATGTCTTTTTAATTATATCTAAATTTTTGTAAAACATCAAAAGTAAGTGCAAAGGATCCTCTGTTTCGTATAACAGCATCCCTCCTTCGGTGGAGACTTACGCCAACTTTAATCCAAATAGCATACAACCATAATTAAAGGAAACAAAAGGAAGCATTTGTTCTATTTTTCAATTTATTTGTCGGCATTCTTTTAACTTAATTAATAAACAAGCAAATTAAATAGCTAATCAAATGCTCAAATTCAAAGTCAAAGATACATAGAATTGCTCTAAATTAATTCTCAACTCTCTTGTATTGAGGAATGGGAGGTGTATAATTTTTTTTTTGGGTTACTATAAAAATTTAAATTCATGATCTTTAATTATAAAATCAAATTTAATATTATTAAATTAATAATTTATTTATTATATAATTAATTTAAAATTTTAAATATTTTTATTAATCTAATAATTGATTCAATTAATTTAACTATTGAACCATTTATTAAAAAAATCCGACACCTTAAACGATTTTTTCTTTTTATAATTATGGGTATCACTCATAGCTTTATAAAAAATAACAATTCCAAGATTTATCGAGCAAGAACTCTAATAGTTTTGTTTTTTCTTGTCTGGAGATGAAAATTGATGAAAATTAATTTAAAAATTAAATGTAGTATTGAGATTTTTTAGTATTGTTAATCTAAAATTAATTTTCATTTTTATAGTTTTTTTGCTTATAATTGTTTATATAAAACAAGAAATTTATTTTGTATTATGTTTATTTAATTAATTATATAATTATTAATTATAAATTCAAAAATCGACTAATAATCAAGTACTCCTTCTATCCCAAAATTATTGTTCCTTTGACTTTTTTAATCAAATTAACTCAATTTGACTATTAATTTTAATAAAAATAATAAATTTTTTAAATATATATTTTTAAAATTTTAATTTAATAGTATATTTCAAAAAATAAGATCAAAGTAGAATTACTTTGACAAAAAGTCAATAGAATATAATTATTATACAAGGGAGGGAGTAAATAACATGAAAATTTTCATGTATAAAGAAAAGAAAATTTTAAATAATTACAATTTCCTGGCCAATAATTGTTAAATTTATCATTTTTCTTAGTTAAAAGTTAATTCTATACCAACGAAGTCAAAATATTCTTAGAGCTCATTTAGATTCAATCACACTCATGTTACAATGCGATGACATAGCTTTTTAGTGCAATTCCACAACAATTAATTGTTTGGATTACACAGCTACGTTGCAGTTGTGCTTATATGATATTAGTGAGATGAAAATTTTTCATTGATGGGGAAAGTAACGGTGAGCCACCGCAACTCACTTTGGACATTTTTGTCCTCATATATATTTTTTAATTCAATTTTTTTCAGATTAAAATAATTTTAAGTAAATTTAAAACTAATATTTTATTTTTTTATACTCTTAAATAATTAATTTTTTAATATTTTAAATGTTAAATAAAATTACAATATGCATTAAAATAAAATTTTAAATTACTTTTTATTAATATCTCTAATAATCATTTTATTTTTATTTTATTATCACCATTACATTTATATTTAAATATATATCTCATCATTAATTTTAATTTTATCATTATAATATCAAATTTTATTATTACAATAATTAATTTCATCACTATTATTATTTTTAATTTTATCTAAATCGATTTAATCGTACATATAAATACACTTTTAATTCACTGTCCTTTTTGTAATATTCCTTTTCCAAATTCCTTCCGACTTTTGATCACTCAGCAAAAAGAGAAATCTAATGGTTCTGAATTACCCAGCCATATCTAATGGTTAAAAGCAAGCTGGATCTCATTATGGTGGTCACCAAAGAAGAAAAAGCTGATATAATATTTATATTTATATATTGGTACAAGATACTATACATTATATTTGAAGACTCATATTCCTCCAAAAGCTTGCATTCCAGCAGTGGCCAAGTAAAATATATCGGAAATATGAAATTGATCAGCAAAATGGGTTCCCACGCATTTACCAAGGTCAAGGCTCAAGAACATCTTTATGAATTTTCTTTGTCCATCACTGACACACTCCTCCAGCTGATAGCTAGACTTCATAGTTGATGAGTACGTTCTAAACATAGAAAGATTTAACATAGGCATGTTTTTGCTGAACTTAGGAGGTACAACTGACAAATGTAAGAAAGATGATCAAATACTGGTAGGGGACTCAAAAATAACGTCACAGGTCTTGCTTTCAGGATTCAACTTGCGGCTATTTATATATTTGTTTAGGGATCCAATGAAACCTAGTCTATCATTTCTTCCAATATCCTTCTCTCTTCGAGTCTTGACTGGACAGCTTTGCAGCCCCCTTCAAGCCTTTCATTGCGCTTCCAGTACTACTGTAGCTCTTTCATTTCAACTTCATGTCATGTTGGAGCCTATACCTGAGTAGTCTCCATGTGCTTCAGCACCAAGATGTTTTCTTTTCTTCTTATATAATATTTGTTGTGGAATGAGGACCAGACATACACTTCTAGCTCCTGAGGAAATGGCAACTTGAAGCTTCTTTATTGTATATAGGATGCTACTGCAATCACTCTTTCTTGATAAAATTTGGAATCAGATAAGAACAATCAATAGCTGGTTCTCTTAAATGGACTGTCACTCTTTCTTCATAGTATTTTTCTTATTGATAATGTAATGAATTATTCATTATTCAAAGATTTCTTCTAATAATAAATGGACATCAGTACAAAGGTTTTATAAGAAAGAATGATTGCAATAATGAACAAATAGAGTAAATCAAAGGATATCAATGGAATCTCCTTTAAAGTTGAAAATCCAACAATCCAATAAGTTGAAACCCTTTGGCCAAAAAAAAAAAAAAGCTGAGACCCTACAATTGTATATCACGTAAGATTGATTTGGTATAAGGATCTTGGACCGTATCTAATGCTGATTTGAGACAAGGTAACTAATTGCACAAAATTTTCATTTTAGGAACAATATAAGAAGATCCGACATGGGTTGGTGGTTTGTCACAAATTGCTGACCCAAGTTTGAAATTGGTAGATATTTCCCATCGGAAAATGATGCCTTCTTTTTTTTTCATGGTGGAAATGGAAAGGCAAATTAGAACAGCCAGGGACATAATCTTGGAAGGGCTAGTCAATAGCTCAGCCAATGGCCCATAGTTTTGTGATGGGAAAATAAGCCTGTGAACTCGTCTATGTTGGTTTGTAAGTTGTAACCCAATTGTGGAGGGATTTCTTAAGCAGGCATCAATCGGGCTAATTGGGTTGGTTGAGTTTAGAGCTTGTGTGAGCAAAGCAAATTTCATTTCGACCGTTTTGATGGAAAATTCAATTAACAGTAAATACTTAGAAGTTAGATTTTCAATTTATCCAAAAACTTGATATTAAAAGTTGAAACCTGACCACTTTCATCATATCAAAAGATGACAACAAAGGCAATGAACGTTTCTGAGATCTTCAACTTTGAATTTTTTTTTTTTTGGTAAATTTGATATCTCCAACTTTGATAAATTTTTTTTTATTTACTGAATTGACATAGTGAGTGACCGGCAATCTATGATCAAAACACGAAGAATGATTCTGTTTTGTAGCTTCCCTTCAATGAACAGAATTTTGAAAATTGTAACTTTGTAAGCATTTTTTTTAATAAGCTTTCAATTTTGAATAGTGACAAGGATTTTTTTAAAATTAAATTTATTTTGATAGACGATAAAATTAATTTTGATGAGATAAAAAATAATTATGAAAATAAAATTAATTACTATAATTGTGATATTAAAATTAATAATAAAATATATATTAAAATGTAAAAATAGTAATGATAATAAGGTGAATTATAATGAGTGTACAAAATTATTATTAAAAATATTAGATTAAAAATTGAATGTAATAAAATTTTAAATTAGTTAATATGCATAAAATTAATAAATAATAGATATTTATTAAGTTATTTTAAGTCAAATAATAATTTTGTTAATTAATAATTAAAATTTATTTATTTATTAGTTTATTATATAATAATAAATTTATTTCTTTATTATATAATAATATAAACTTATTTATTATATTAAAATAATAAAACTTGTTTTATAAATTTTAAATAAAAATCAAAATAAAAAATTAAATTATAATGACATTTTTGTTTTTATAATTTAACTTGAGGGATAAAAATGGAAATAATGAGACTGCAATTTTCCTCTAGAACAAAAAACTCTAATGACTGACCAGTGTAATTCACGCCACAATTTGAACATCCTAGTATATGTTCAATGTGTTTTTCATAACTTTTGAAGCAAACCGTCCCCCACCGGAGGTTCGGTTGCATCCAAATGATCCCTTAGCGATGTTGAAAGACACAAGGACAAGCCAAGCGCCAATGATGAATGACGTCAAGAAAGAGCAAACGGTATCGTTTATGTTAGGAGTTCGGACATTTTGTGGTCAATTATCAACTGCTTCGGTGGTCGTTACAATTAGACAAAATAAAAAGTACCAAATAAGCTCCAATATCCATCCACAACCAGAAAAAATATGAAGAAAGCAATAAAAAGCAAAGATAAAACCAAATACTTGGTTGAGAAACTTTCTTTGGTTTGGTAATTCTAAGCAAAGAAAACAACACCCTTCTTCTTAAACAGAGAAAACTGAGCAGGGCAATGGTTTCACTATGCTTGAATTCATTGCCACTGCCACCTTCTTCATACCCCAAAAAGCTTACTGAAACTTCCTTGTCATCCTCTTCTTTCAGTAATGGTAGTATAGGAACAGCCTTGAAGCCCATTGTTGTCAGTGGAAATCCTCCCACTTTTGTTTCTGCTCCGGGTCGCCGTATTATAGCAGGTTCTTTTGCTTTTACTTTGTAGGTTTTTTTTTTTTTTTTGTCATAACTCCATGTAATTAATTTTGAATTACATGCTAAAGTTTTCTGGTTTGTTCAATGTTTGATTTCTGTAGCTTTCGGAAATCTTGTTGATTAACTGACAATAAACAATAGAATGAATATTTGAAGTTGTAAAAGGACTCTATGCTCATTAGTGTTTTGTCTGACTGATGAACATTGAACAATGTCTTGAGGAAATTTATGCTTTGGTTTTCAGGGATGCCACTGAATTTTGGGTACTGTTTATTCTGTTCATCACTTTTTGAAGTAATCTATATCTTTATATGCTTCCATGTATAGTTGGAGATCTTCATGGAGACCTTGACCAAGCAAGATGTGCACTTGAGATGGCTGGTGTCTTGAGTTCTGATGGTGAAGACATATGGACGGGAGAAGATGCGGTATTCTTCTTCTTCTTTTGTTGATAACATTAAGCAGAAAGTTCGGTTTTGTTTTAGTCACAGAAATCTCCATTGCTAAAGTTCTGCAGTCACTCCTGAACTTGTATTCGCGATTTCCTAGTTTGAAAGAATTGAGCTAATAGCTAGTTTTGCAGTTTTCTTGCAATGGATTTCTTATCATCCTAATGGATGCTAGAACTACACCCAAATTTAGCATTATTATTTCTGTAGATAACTTCTTCTTTGTATGGAATTGTTTCTCTAATCTGAATACCATCTGATGCCTATGTTAATGTTTGAGAAAGTAGGTATTGATTCAGCTTGGAGATGTACTTGATCGAGGAGAAGATGAAATAGCCATTTTATCCTTGTTGAGATCATTAGATATACAAGCAAAGGCTAAAGGTGGAGCTGTTTTCCAGGTTTGTGGTGCTAAAAGTAGAACAGTTTGGGTGCATGGGACAAATCAATAATCTAGTTTGCATCGGAAGAATACCTGATTTTTTAGGAGTTAATGCCACATCTTCATATGACTAGTGGTTCTAGCAAAACCTTCTGAATTCCCTTTTAAAGATGTGGAGGTATTGTTCACTTTGATCAAGTCTCACGGTTTTGTCTCTTGTTAAAATTTAATATTCTCGTCAAGTCTAACACAAAACAAATATAAAACCATATAACGCACACACAAAACCACAAAATCTAAATCACACTAGACATTAGAATTTTAGAGGTAGCTTCCACTGTATAGCATTTAACTTTCTCAAGATGTAGTACTTATTTCCCATCTGACCAATGACCGCTCTGACCTATAAGATATTATTCATTTTGATCCAAAAATTTCATGGTTTTATCCCACAAAAAGTATTTCAAAAATATAAATTTAAATCTCTACATATATATCATATCGTATTCTTAAATTCTTCTAAGATTGGAGTGTCACAAACTTAGACTTTAAGAAATCTTATTGGAAGGATTACTTCTGGTCGATTTCTACAATTTTTGCCAAATTAGAATGCTGATAGTCTTCTTGTTACAGGTCAATGGAAATCATGAGACAATAAATGTGGAAGGGGATTTTAGATATGTAGAATCCGGCGCTTTTGACGAGTGTGCTAATTTCCTCGAATACTTGAATGACTACGAACATGACTGGGAGGAAGCATTTGTCCGTTGGTGTAGCATGTCTAAGAGGTGGAAAGATGAAAGGAGAATTTCTAGAAACAATTGGGGCTCTTGGAATCTAGTAAAGGTACTAGAGTTCTCAGTGCTGTCAGTCTACTAAACTAATATGTTTCTTCTTGTTCTCAATAAAGTTCATTGATCATAAATATGAAGGCATTTCCTATTTCATTTATCCTCGTATTATAGTGCTTCTTGTTAGTTACTTGTATAATCCCAGAATATAGGGTGAAGATACTGTTTTTATGCCCTCTCCATTTATAAAAAGAAAAAAGCCTTGCTGATAAAGATCTCAAATTATTAGAACAGAGACAAAAGGGGGTGACTGCCAGATCGGTTCTGTTTAGACCGGGTGGTCCACTTGCGTGTGAGTTGGCACGACATGCCGTAGTTCTTAAGGTTAATGACTGGATCTTCTGTCATGGTGGCCTCCTTCCTCACCATGGTAAAATTATTAACTTCATTTTGCATGAACCAGTTTAGTAGAATAATTATCATTCATCAAATTATATGTAGAAGTTTTTCTTTTATTCTTTTGTTTGAAATGTCTGATTGGAGTCTTCATACTTCTGCAGTTGCTTATGGCATACAGAGGATGAACATGGAAGTATCTCAATGGATGAAAGGTCTCATCGGGGAGGATAGTAGTCCTCACATGCCCTTCATAGCCACCAAAGGCTATGATAGTGTTGTTTGGAACCGCTTATACTCTAGAGATGTTTCAGACTTAGAGGATTATCAGATTAACCAGGCACGTATAATAACTACTACTATGTTTTATACTCGTGCCTTTAGGAACTAAAATTACTTGCTCATAGCAGATAAATGATATTGTTGAAGAGACACTGCAAGCAGTAGGAGCTAAGGCAATGGTGGTAGGACACACGCCTCAATACTCCGGGGCAAATTGGTATGCAAACTTTGTTGAACATATTTTTTAAACTATTAAGGATCCAGTCTTTATATGCTAGAAATTTATCTATTCTACATGTAGTTATTAACTTTCAGCCCTGCCTGCAGTGAGTACAATTGCAGCATATGGCGGGTTGATGTGGGAATGTCCAGTGGAGTTCTAAATTCAAGACCAGAGGTGACAATATATACTAGTATTTTATACTGTCTGAGAAATGTAGAGCTTAAGTCTTATGAATCAAATCCTGACACCATCCCTGACCCTCTCCAGAAACTGACAAAAGAAAAGGAAAAACGATCTTAATGAATCAATACAGGCCACTCTTCTATAATTCTCAACAACATCCAAGCGCATGTTCTTGTTCTTTGATTGCATATTGCTTGAGATTGCATAAACCTTGTGAATTTATTGGCCTCTTGGTTTATAATGTTAGCATAGAAACGGGAATCCATTTGTGATGTACATATCCATCCATGTGTTTTTGTCAATTTTATTTTATTTTTTCTATAAATGCAATGTTGAGAGAGAAATTCTTTGGGACATATGTTCACCAGGTTCTAGAAATAAGAGATGATAAAACGAGGGTAATAAGGAGCAAAAAGGACACGTTCAGGAAGCATCAGATTGTTGACTATATATAGCTAGCTACAGGAAGTAAATAATCAGGTATGATTACTTCCCTTGTTTCTGTGATTACATGAGGTTTGAGATGCATTAGTCATTGTGCTTTAATGATCTTTCTCTCCATCCCCTTTTTTTCTGCTTGTTTTATTCAAGCTTAGCTTTACCTCAATGCTGCAAGCCTGCGACTAACTGCTACGGATGAGTGGTTGAGACTTGAGACTTCAAATTTAGATTGTGACAGTTTTCTCTACATGTTTTACTTTTGATACTTGCAGCCTAAGTTCTTTAGCAAACTTGAAATTTAGACCATTTCACTGCAAATTTCCAGGAAGCCTTGTACCAACTGAATTCGACAAAACATTGCCAATTGCCATCATGTTAACAAATTTACTCCCATGATGAAAAAAACTTGGTAGTCTAGAAACGAGGCAATGATGACTGTTTCCTATATGTTTTTTTCCTTGTTTACAGGATTCTTTATAACTTCCTTGAATCATCATCATCCATCTATCCATCCGTCTGCAGCATAGTTTGCTCTGTAAGAATTATGTTCAACAACAACAAAAAAACAAAGATAATTTTTGTAAATCAACAGACAGAGGAAGGTGCCAAGTACTCTCTTCAAATCATGCTGGGAAGCTGAAGTTGATTCTGGAACCTGGCTTTAATGTCTAATCATTTTTTGAGTGATTATTTGATTTTGAGTGAGACAGTATACAAGCAATATTTCTTTCTGATTGTTCTTCTTGTGTCTTTACATCATGATTAAGTAAAAAGTCTTAAAAAGAACTTTTTAGTTACTAGAATGTTTTTTGATGAACGATAAAATTAATTATAATGAAATTAAAAATAATTGTAAAAATGAGATTGATTATTATATAAATGAGATTAAAATTAACGGTGAGATGTGTGTTTGGATGAAAAAAAAAGTAGTGGTGATGAGATAAATTGTAGTGAAAAAATATAACCCTTAAAGATATTAGGACTAAAAATTATATATAATAAAAAATTTAAATTATTTAATACTTATAAAATTAAGATAAATCTGAATGAAAATCAACAAAAAATTCATGGCTTTTGTTAAAATATCAGTATTTCTTTTTATAAATGATATTGCAATCTAAGATATAAAAAGGGGTTTCACGAATTGAAATTTAAAATTATTAATTTAAATTATATAAATTAATTAAATTTTGAATTTAAAATTACTAGTATTTAATAAAATACATTCATTATAAAATGTCAATCAATTTTTAATATCAATATGAAAATGTTTTAAATATACTTAAACATATTTATTTATTATTGTTAAATACTAATAGTAGTGGTATATTTTTAGCTTAAATATAAAAAAATGTTTAAATATATTCAAGTTCTTATCGTTTTATTATAATAAATTTAAATATTAAATATTTATTCTTATTCAATTAAAAATTTAAATATTTATTTTCATCAATTAAATTTTTAAATACATATTTTTATTTAATTGAACATTCGATTAGGTTAAAATAAGTTTCAATGATTAACTAATTTTTATTTTAAACAATTTTAATTAATAAAAATAAATATTTTAAAATTTAATTCATCGTAATAAAACAAAAAAAAAAAAAACAAAAGTTTAGATAATTACTTAATTTTAATAAGTAAAATTTTGTTTACAGGTATACCCATATTTTTGTATTGAAGTAATTTTGTTGGTGAGTTGGCAGATGGCCGGTTTCTTCGGTTTTCAAGCCAATCTCCAACGCCTACCTTCCTTCGTGATCTCCACCAAGACAGCTAATTATTATACCTAATGTCATAAAATCAAACTTGGCATGCATACTCTCCTTCACCTGCGCCTTGCTTCTTCCTCTAGTTCCCACTCTCTCTTGGCAATGTCTGCTGCTACGGCCTCTCTCGCTCTCCCTTCTTCTCTTTCTTCGCTCCGCTCCGATGGAGCTGTTTCACCTCGATGCTTCCGCATCAACAATCTCTCTCGGTCTCGGGTTTTCATGAGCGTCTCTATTGGATCCCAACCTGTTGTCGATGATGCCTTGTTCGCCGATTACAAGCCTGCCTCCGCTTTCCTTTTTCCTGGTCAGGTAGTTCTTCGTTCCATCAATTTTGGACAATTTTAAGCTCTACCTAACTAAAGCTATTATAAAAGCTTTTGCTTTATTCTGGATGAATCTGTTCTGTATCGATTTCAATAATTCAATATATAAAATAAAAATTTCAGGGCGCACAGGCGATTGGAATGGGAAAAGAAGCACAGAGTGTGCCTGCTGCTGCCGAATTGTATAACAAGGCAAATGATATATTAGGGTAATGCCCCCAAACGAATTTTCCTCTTTTTTTTAATTAATTTTTAGTATATTTGATTTTAGATTAACGACCCATTGACAATGGTTTAACGCAGAAATTCAAAAATTGCTATACTCTTATTTTGAAATTGTTTTTATAGTCTAACTTGTCTCAGCTGCTTGCAGTTTTAATCTTCTGGATGTTTGCATCAACGGTCCTAAGGAAAAATTAGATTCAACTGTCATAAGCCAGGTACCTTCTATTGCTTATTTCTTTGCCTTTTTTCTTTGCCCTTTAATGATGTTATTTTTTCAATGATTTATTACTATGGTTTATCCCATTGAGCAGAATTAATAAATTAGCCTGTGACTTTGCATCTCTGCAGCCTGCTATTTATGTCACCAGTCTAGCTGCTGTGGAGCTGCTTCGTGCTCGCGATGGAGGCCAGCAGATTATTGATTCTGTTGATGTCACCTGTGGCCTCAGCTTGGGAGAATATACTGCACTAGCATTTGCCGGGGCTTTTAGGTGAGTCCTTTGAACACCAATTATTGAACTATTATCTTGATGTAACTTGTACTTATTACTTTATAGTCGTTGTTTATCTATAGCTTAATGACTAATTAAATCATCCACAGAGGCTGCATTTCCATATTTAAAGCATACAGAAGTTACCGTCATCCATTATTCAATTTGTCTGCTACTGTTTGAGTTAGTAGGTAAAACTAGAAGCATAATATGACTGATAATGTTCTTCTTTCCCCTGTGAATTTGATTTCACGTATAAAGCTTTGAGGATGGACTCAAGCTGGTTAAGCTAAGAGGAGAAGCAATGCAGGTACAATCTGTATCTGTCTGATAATGTCTTGTAGTGTAGATAATTTCATGAATCATGATTCCTGTTGCTAATCCTCATTCTTTTCTGCCTTTAGGAAGCTTCTGATGCTGCTAAAAGTGCTATGGTCAGTATCATAGGACTTGATTCGGAGAAGGTTCAGCAATTATGTGATGCTGCCAACCAAGAAGTTGATGTAGCTGATAAAGTTCAGATTGCAAATTACTTGTGTCCTGTAATATTCTCTTTTATCTGTCTCATTTTTGAAATGAATCATGGCTGATGTTTTGCTTATTAAGAAATCTGATACGCACTGACTTTGGCACTGAAAATGTGTTTACTTTGGAAGGGAAATTATGCAGTCTCTGGAGGTCTGAAGGGAGTGGAAGCAGTGGAAGCTAAAGCAAAGTCATTCAAGGCTCGGATGACAGTAATTCTCTTTTCCATTTTCTATCTAAAAGTTTAATCCTTCTGTGTTACCTTGATTGATGGTAAACTATTTGGCTTCATTTTTTGTTTTAACATGGCCATTTAGCTATATTGTGACTGTTAGTGATAATGTATTTTTCCCCTTTCACAGGTGCGTTTAGCTGTTGCTGGTGCTTTTCACACTAGTTTCATGGATCCTGCAGTCTCAAGATTGGAAGCTGCATTGGCAGCAACCCGGATCAGAACTCCAAGAATACCTGTTATATCAAACGTTGATGCTCAGCCACATGCAGATTCTGAGACAATAAAGAAGATACTAGCACGTCAGGTAAGCTACTTGATACATGTTTCTTTCCCTCATGGGCTAAGAACAGCAATTAAGCGTCGTAGTCGAAATTGCAGGTGACTTCTCCTGTTCAATGGGAAACAACAGTGAAAACTTTGCTGACTAAAGGGCTGAAGAAGAGTTATGAGTTGGGGCCTGGAAAGGTAATAGACTTATTGACTGCTTAAATTAATGTTTCTTTCTCTTTCTCTCTAGTCATACATTGTCTCTCCTTCTCATTGTTTTGAATTTGTTTGGGTCATGTATCAGGTTATAGCGGGCATTGTGAAGAGAATGGATAAAAGTGCCGAGATTGAGAACATTGGTGCTTGAGGGGTCATTATATGTGGCTACTTGAGTTAATTCATACAAACATATCAAAAAATGGTGTAGCACTTTGTGGTGAGAGAAGAGTTTAGTTGTTCAGTTCAAACCAAGAAAAGATAGTTTAAGTTTTGAGCAGTTATGTCCAGATCGAGGACTGTCTAGCCACGTTGATGCTAGTTTGTAATGACGGTTTTTTGTCAGAATGTCGTGTTTCAGTTAGGAAAAGACCAAGTTCATCAGGCAGGAAGAAATAGCTAAGCTCACTCTTCCATTTCATCATCTTTAATTTATTTGACCTGCAATGGCAAACCTGAACTAGTTTGTTTCCGGTGACCTACTGTTGGACTATGTCAATTGATGCTCTCCTGCATTTCCCAAATTAACTTTATAATTTGTTCAATAAAAGTTCCAGCTTTCCCAAATTCATCATTTTGGCAATGGGTTTTTCTTTTTCAATTTTGGTGCAAAAGAAAAGAGAAAAAAATTGCATTGCCATTTGCTAGAAACTAATCCAAAATCTAGGGACTCAAAGACACTTTCAAGTTGCAATACCTATTTGTCTCATAATGGGGATTAAAAGCTAAAAATTCAAACAAAGATGCTTTTTATTTTTGGAACTATATAATTCATCTAAGAAAACTTGATCAGTTTTACACGGTACCGGAAGGGCGTTGCGGTTGCCTCAATCTCCGAAGCTGATCGATCCACCTATCCTCGGGAACTTGATTGGCCCAATCAGGAGTCAATCCCGCAAATGAAACCCCACGCATCGCTTCCCTAACTCTCATAGCATTCTCCGGGGTTAACGGCGCGTTTCTTCGGCTCTCGTCTTCCCTAAACGCCCTCCGTATCGCCGTATCAGACGCCTCTCTCATCATCTCTTCTTCTTCTTCTTCCTCCGCAGCAAATTCGCCTACATGAAGAGACAAGATTCCGTTTTCCACTCGATTGACATAGCCATTCGACATGTTGTCATAGTGGTGTTCTTCATCTGAGTTGACCACTTGATCACTCAAACCTTCTTGATGCTCGTCGTCATCATCATCCACGGCTGAGATTGGCTGGTAGTATTCAGGCGCGTCATCGTGATTGGTGTCGGAATCGCTGCCACTACCATTATTGCTCTCTGGACACGCAGGCAAGAAACCGTTTGAAAGTTTGAGAATTTATACAACACTTAAAAAAAATTTAACAAAAAAATTTTAAAACATTACCTAGAATAAGATCGGTTGGAGATGTGGCCATGGCGTTCATTGTTAGTTGTGAAGCAAGTGCAGAGAGATCCGGAAAGACAGGCCGTGAATAAAAAATATATTTATCAAATAAATCCCAAAAATTAAAAATATAGGGGGAATAAAAAGAGAAATGCACCGCCCGGGAATCGAACTCGGGCCAAATAATAAACATAATTTCGAAAAAATTACATCTTTGCCGCAGCATTCATATCGAAGACTTGAACCACACGTTCCAATTGAGAGCTTAGCAGCCTTGTAATCTGAGATTGGGAAATGGCGGATTCTATTTACAGGGCTTCGGTTCTTCCATCTCAGCTGCTTTTCAAGCCCAGTTTATCAAATAGAAATTGTGTTCCCAAGAAGAGTAACTTGCTCTGTTTTGCTTCATCACAACTCAACCCTGTCCGGTTAGCACATTAACATCAAATTTTCCGCTTCCTTTATTATCCTAAGCAAGCTGAACAGAAGGGTGATGATGTAATTTTGGTTTGATTGTAGGTCAGAAGTGAGTTTTTGCATTGGAACTCACCTCATTCCTCATCCAAATAAGGTGTTTCAAGTTTGAAAATTTTGTACCTAACATGTTTGAATTCAATTTCATTGGTTAGCGAATAAAACTTGTTTTTTATGTTTCTTTTAGGTGGAGAGAGGAGGAGAAGATGCTTTCTTTGTTAGCAACTTCAATGGGGGAGTTATTGCTGTTGCTGATGGTGTTTCTGGGTATAATACCTTATTTTGGAGCAGCAATCTGTTTTTTCTAGATTGAGAAGTTCCTAGTCTTTTGTCTGCTAATCTATTTGAAACAAAATTTGATGTGTGATTGACTTCCAAAGAAGTTCAGACATGTTTGCAGTTTGCCTTGGCAGCCCTGTTTTATGCATATTTATCTTCTTTTGTTGTTGTTATAGGTAAAAGATTATTTCCAGGACCGCCAAGGTTCGTCTCTTTTAGGTGATTCCAGGAAAACACATTCAAAAAGATTGTTCTGAGAACATCTATGTTTTTGGACAATTTTACAAACCAAACCATTTGAACATACTTTTACCCCAGAAAGAAGTGGAGTGCTGAATATCAAAACATGCCTTTGATTTCTTCAAGCAGGCAAACTGTGTCATTACGTGAGCTGAAAAGTCACTATGCAGTGTAGATGTAAAGTATCTGTGAGAGTATTTTTTTCCTGTGACGTTTTTGACAATTTCCATTTTTCTATGATTTGCCAGTTGGGCTGAACAAAATGTGGATCCTTCATTATTCTCCAAGGAGCTGATGGCTAATGCTTCATCACTTGTGGGGGATGAGGAGGTATTATTGGCATATTTGAAACAAGAATTTCTTTCAGGAATTGTCATCTTGTGATCTTGATTTTAATGGCATATTTGAAACAATTTTACACATACATGAAGTTATTTTTTGGCTAATATCTGAATTCATCTTTTACCAGGTTAATTACGACCCCCGGATCCTCATAAGGAAAGCACATGCTGCAACTTCTTCTAAAGGGTCGGCTACTGCGTAAGTTGTCATATTCCGAAGAGTTCTTCACATCCCACATCTTTTTACACAGGTTAAGAACACATTATTTTTACACTTTGTGGCACTGTCATTAACGTTGATTTTCCAATTGGTTTGCAGTATCATTGCGATGCTAGAGAGGAATGGCAGAATGAAGGTTGCCAATGTAGGTGATTGTGGATTAAGAGTTATCCGCAAAGGTAAATACTTACCAAATACTGTCTGTTTGTTCTGGTAGTTCTTTTTCAATTTTATATTTGTTTTCATTGATTATACAGCAATAGCAAGGTTTAGTCATCTAATTAACTTACTGCAGGGCAGATTATCTTTTCTACGTCTCCACAAGAACATTACTTCGACTGTCCATATCAATTGAGCTCGGAGTTGGTTGGCCAAACGTATCTTGATGCTATGGTATGAGTGCTAAGTTTTTCTGTCAACTGTCATTGGAATCATTTATCCTATCATTCACTGTTATTTAGGACAAAAATCAAAATCAACTAAACATGTCAAAACAAGTTGAATTTGTTAGGGAAAATTATGAAGGTTAATTTCAAGCTTCAGATTTTAAAATCCGTCTTGTTATGGTTATTTTTTGTTTTCTGTTAAAACAGTTTAGCAGTGTTGAAGTAGCGGAAGGAGACACCATAGTAATGGGCTCAGATGGGCTGTTTGACAATGTTTTTGATCGTGAAATTGTTTCAACATTGGCCATACATACAGATGTTGTGGAGGCTGGTATGCGTTTCTCGTTATTCTTGTCTGTTAAAGGACTAGTATTATCTCATAGTGACTAAATTGCATAATGTTCCCTGCTTCAATTTTTAATGCTAGCAAAGGCATTGGCTAACCTGGCAAGCAACCATTCGATGGATTCAAGGTTCGAGTCTCCCTACTCATTAGAGGCCAGAACCAAGGTAAAACTATTTACTAGGATAAGTTAAATCGACACAGCCTTCATGTCTCTCTTTAATGAAATTTAACATATGGCCTTATTAGAATTTCTTTACAGGGTCTGGATGTTCCTTTTTGGAAGAAAATTCTCGGGATGAAGCTAACAGGCGTGGTTTCTTTTTATTTTTCCTGTGATAATGATTCCATTTCTATTTATCCACAGTTGACGATTTTTTTTTTTTTTGAGTAGGTGGAAAGCTTGATGATATCACTGTGATTGTGGGTCAAGTTGTAACCTCACCCAGCATTGGCATCTTGGATGAGGTTACGAAAACAGAGGAGGTTAAGGGCACAGAAAGTATTGGTATCTTGGACGAGCTTCAAAGGACGCAGAAGATCGAGGGAACAGACAGCATCGGTGTGTTGAACGAGGCTCAGACAGCGTATGCTCAGGTAAAGAAGGGGTTTGGAGGACGTAAGACTTCGACAAAAACCCTGCCATATTAGTTATCAAATCTGTTTTTCCTAGGCAACTACTACCCGTGATTGGTGAAGTTCAAATATCTTATTATGTCAGTCTATATTCGGACCAAAGGGCTTAGTCCTTTTGTACTGAGGACTTCCAGAGACCCATTCTTTTGGTATTTCCTCTTTATTTTTCTATTTTTACTGTAATGGAAAAAAAGAGAAGACAGAATACATTCAAAATGTTGAAAATGTCCCCAGTTCACCATTTTAGACTTAATAAATAATTGAAGGCAAGGGATTCTAGTTTTCAATAAATTATAAATCTTACCCTTTTTCTTTACATTGAACAATTAATAATCAATTCCAAAACTATAACTGGGTTCCAATCGAATATTCCTTAACTTGGCAGGCTGGAGTTTTCCATGCTCACCTCATAAAACACAGTCGAGGAAAGAAAAAGTCAGAACAACAAAACTGCGTACGTAATGACCATACTTACAGTCATTCTAGTGAATAGTGATCTACAATCCAAAATCTGAAAGTTGATAACAATATCGAAAAGTAATCAACAAACAGTAATTGCGTTAGGAAAATGACATTTTCGATACTTGATTCTTTTGGGTAAAAATCAAAACTTTTTGATGCAATTTTGCCTTACATTGTCATGAAACCAAAAACAAAACTTATGACAGATGACGATTTGATGGGATTCTGACTCAACATTTATTATGCAATTGATTACAATAAATAGCAATGTATACATTCTATGGATGCCAATTAAATAGAGTGTTGACATCCATGAAAGGATGTCTAGCTTACCCATCCATCATGTGAAGAAAAGCTTTCCACCATCACTTGAGGTGTTGGTCATGCAGCTGCAGCATACATTAACAGGAATTTCCTTATGGTACTTCAGGTGACAGTGCCATTTTCAGTGCTACCATTGAGATCTTGGAACAAAGTTTTTGCGGCTTCATATGTAGACCAGCAGATTGCTGCAGCAGGAGCATGAAAGAGCATTCGAGGAATCCATCCCCTCATGAGGCCTTTGTAGCCATCTTTTTGCACTATTGTTTTAATCACGTCCCTAATGGAAGTACTCTTAAATCTATCGCATCCACATACACCCTGAGATAGAATTTTTAATAACAATGATACAACAATCAGAGAAGCTAAATGCATAATTTATCCAAGTAAATAATTAGCTCTAAAAGATAAACATAAGTCTTAATGGATGTGAATATATGTAAACCAGTTTTCGTCAAAAACCACCAATGTGAAATTAAAAGCAAAGCAGGATGGAACAAAATATAGACTTTACAAGCAAGGACTTAAATGCACACATATCAAATAGAAGGAAAGTATACAGATGATTATTAAACCATGCTTCAGTAAAATACTATGAACATTCAGTTTGAGAGAATGGATTATCTCAATCATCTGGGGTAGTGTTAAGGAGTAGCTATGACAAGAGAAAACAACAAAAACACTTACGATAGCCACAAACTAGACTATGAAGGCAAAAAAGCAAATACAGAAAAAGAAGGAAATTTACTTTAAGTATGATGATGTTCTCAACGCATTGAAATTAAAGGTGTTGCAGTAACTAAGACTAGATGCTGCATCTTCTGACTCATAGCATTATATTCAAGATGTAGGTTTCCAGATACAAGATTATATGATACAGCAGACAAAATAATGGAGATAATATCATATACAAAGAAACACGAAAAGGAGGAGATGATTGTAATTAAAACCATTCAAATCCTTTAAGCTATAGGTTTGCATAAATTCAATTCATTTGAGAATATTCAAAAACTACTAGTTGTAAATAACAACTTTCTCAAAGATTTGATCAGATAAAAGGGACGGTAGCAGCAAATTCAAAATGATAATGACGTATTTGACCTAACGGAAAATTAGTTCATTACATCATCTGTCTGGAAACATAGACAAGTCAGCATTTGCAAGCTTTCAATCACGATAACAAAGGATTAACTATGTTCAACATGGATATTTCAAAAAATAGAAAAAAAAAAAAAAAGAACTTATGTTCAACATGGAAAGCATTAAGATATGAGGGCTCGCTTTTACCATCAATGCATAGAAGTTAACTTACTACATCTACCAAACAAAATTTCCTTAATATAGCTAACATAAACAGATTAAAGCTTCAGCTCACTGCAGCAAAATCCAACAAGCAAGAAAAAAAAAAAAAAAAAAAAACAGAGCCAAAGCTTGAATTACCTGACACTGCAACTGAGTTTTGACTACATCAAGCGGCGTAGTGACAACCGCAGCAGAGGCCCCAGCAAGAGCACCAGCCGTGGCATGGACAATCACCCGCTCATCACTTGCACTCTCTGGTGAAATCTCAATCAAACCCCTTTTCGCCGCCTCATAAGTTGCAAAATGAACAGCCGTAAACGGCGCATTCATGAGCACCGTCGTCCTGTAGGAAGCATAAAACGCCCCAAAACCTTCCTTTTTCAAAACTTTCTTTATACAATCCAATACCCCTCTATAAGCAGTACTATTTCCCAACTGTAACCTCTGCTTCACCATATCCATAGGGGTAAAAACGGCGTCGCTAGCAACCGTCGCGAAAACACCGGAAACCGCATGAGCCGCCGAATTATTCGGGTTCCCACCCGAAAAATACTTTTTACAAACTTCGTATACAGAAAAGTAGACGGCATGGGCAGGGCCAGCCCCGAGACCCATGGCCCCGATCCCCCGGTATAAGCCCGGGAGTCCTTCGGACTTGAGGATGGAACGGAGCGCGTGACCTACACCCACCGATTTGATGGGGCAAGAGCCGAGGGCTTGCATATGGGTTTTGACAGTGTCAACAGGGAACATAGCCATGTGCTCAACGCAGCCGGCGATGGAGCCAGCAACCATGAACTGCCAAAAGTGGAGCCCGTCGTGGGGACTCACTGTCAATTCCGGGTGGAAATCCGGCGGCTGTGGCACTGGTCGGAAGTCTGAATTTTGGAACTTTGTTGTTGTAGCTTCTGTTGCCATCAATAATAAAGAACTGGGGGAAATTTGGGCTTTTTTGGGAATGAAGAAATGGGTTAATTAGGATTTTGTAATGGCTTTAGCGGTGGAGTTATAGCCGTATAAAGTTTTATTCTTTAAAATACGAAGATTAAGATTAAATTGCATATTTGAAAGGAGATGGAAATCGAGAGGAGGGTTTTTTGTTTTGGTTTCTCGTTATTCCTATTGGTGCTGATAATAGACTTTGAAGCTTCTACAAGCCAGATATGAAGTTGGACAAGCTGCACCAGTGTTCCCAGAACTAGGGGTTTCTTCTCAATTTTAACTTTTTTTTTAATATTTTGACAGACGAATTATTATGTAAAGAAATTTTTTTTTTTTGGTAGGAAATTTGGGATCCATCGCAATCAGATCTCGGCTATCGTGTAATAACTTTGATCGGACAACTTATTGAGCCATGCAATGGGCCAAGGTTGGAATTTTGGATATGAACCATATATCCCAGAAATCGGCCTAAAGACGGCCCAGTCTTTTCTTTTCTCTCTCTCTCTCTCTTTCTTTTTTTTTTTTTTTTCCGTTTTTCTCAGTTAAGGACCTTGCTATTCCAGTATTCCTCCTCATAGTGTTGCCTGCTGTCTGAAATTCAGACAGTAAAGCTTAATAGCATTTTACATTCTTTGTGGGGCAATGCTTTCCATGTGTCTCTGAATGATCTTGGAATTTGATTTTGAAAGACCAAGTTTGTAAAATTGTGGTTGAGGAAAAATGTCATTTGCAAGCAGTTCCTCTTTCTTCTTTTCAATCTCTTGTTGTACCAAACTCTTACCAAACATTCATTTTCAAAATCAGTTACCAACATAAATTTACATTATCAGTCAAATGTAACTTATTTAGGCGCTAGAGATAAGAGCATTTACTTGGCTCCTCTAGTACAAGTCGAAATGTGTTGCAACAAACAACTGACACAAGAAACTGTCCAAAGATGATAGAAGCATCTATGGAATTAATCCCAAGGACTTTCAAAGGCACGGCTTGAAGAACCAATAATATGATTAATGGCCACTAATATGTGAAATGTTACTGATGAAGGAAGTAATACTGGTGTCAGATGAGCCATTTCTGTCAATGGCATGTTGACATTTCTCTTGAAGCTCTTTAGCTCTTTCCCTCATTTCTTTCACTTCTGCACTTTTCAAATCCATAAATTTTTCCACAAACCAGGAAATTTCGCCTCTTGCTACCAAATTCTCTTCTGGGAACTGCTTTTTCAACCTCCAACCAATTTTCCAATCCTCCACAACTAGCTTAGTATTCATCATCTGATCTGCAGCCAGCGGGAATGTAAGAAATGGAATGCCTGCAAAAATAGCTTCTTGAACAGAATTCCATCCGCAATGACTCCAAAATCCCCCTGTGGAAGGATGCATTAGCAGCCTCAGCTGATCACACCAGGGCACCACAAACCCCTGATCACTACAAGCTTCCTTCATCCTAGAAGTCTCGTTGCGGACTACCCACAAGAACCGAACACCACTATCATTCAAACCAGCTGCAATTTCATCCATTTGGGCACTTGAAACTGAAAGAAAACTTCCCAGTGATACATACAGAACAGAGTTCCTTGGTTGTCTGTCAAGCCACTGTAGATAGTCGAGTTCACTGTCGCCAAGGCTTGAAACGGAGTTGTTTCCAAGCTTGAGGGGGATGGCAGGGCCAATAGTGTAGACAGGGAAGGGAAATTCTGCCTTCAGAGTGTCAACTGTTTTTGTTTCAATTTCGTAAATTGAAGCCAACAAAAGATATTTTGCTTTACGAACCCATGAAAAACTATCCAACATATGCTTCAAGAAAAACGAATTGGAATCCTCTTTGAAGTTTGCGGGAAGAATGTCCAATAAACGTGTCGAAGAAACCCCAGGGATGTAGTCCACTTGCTCATCACCCTTTTCTATCATGTATAAAATTGAAAACAAACACAACAATAAATACAATCAATGCTATTTTGCATTCAATTAAATGGTTGGTTTTCTTAATTTTGATAACCTGAAAAGTTCAGGGAAACTTAGATACTTATACTCCGATTGTTTACTATTGGAACATCTATAAATTGAAACAAAAATTTGCTAGGAAATCATGCAGTTGTCAGTATTCGAAGAGAAAGAAACATATAACAAATCATAAAAGCTTGAACTGACAGTAAAGGAAGTCCATACTCGAATTTCCGCATTGAACTTGCAATTAATATCCTCAAATACATTACCTAACAGGTCCATTGGGATTGGGAAGTGTCCGTTTTCTCGTAAAAGATGAAAATGGTGATTCACTGAAAACGTCATAGCTGATAAAGGCCAAAAGGACACCACTGGAATATTTCTCCGGTTCCCAGCAGACACCGCCCAAAGGAGAATTGTATCAGCCATTATAAGAGTAGCCGGAGGCTCAAGCTGATCCAAAAGGCATTCAAATGGAGCATCCATCTTTGTCCAAACAGCTTCCATGAATCCAGACAGGTTATTACCTCGAACCAGCTCCGATGGCAAAACGTTTGGTATCGAGCAGAAGCGGATTGTATCAGGTTTAGGATCAGAACCGATGAAGCCGAGCCACTCTTCAGTGACCACAAAGGAAATGAGTATGTCGTTGGATTTCGAAGCTATGAATTTGCAAAGATTCATCATGGGGTTGATATGGCCTCGACCAGGGTAAGGGATCGCCACTATGTGGCACAGCGTGTTTGGATCTGAGCTGAAGCTTGCAGAGTTCATAGCTGAATTCTTTTCGACTGTTTAGGAACTTGGAACACAAATGACGAAGGGGACACTGATATTAGAAGGAAAGCTGTTGGAACTGTTAAAATGATTAAAGTGACCTTATGCCATCATTCAAAGATGAAAGTTTTCTTTGTAAAAAAAAAAAAAAAGATAAAAGGTTTCTCTTTTTTCTCGTGTTTATAAGGATCACAGAGATTCAAACTTTAGATTTTAGACATTTGCTTAAGTTTCGGTTTTTTAATACTAAAAAATTTAAGTTATTTTGGACCAATCTTATTTGGTAAATAAATTTATGTTGTTGGTGATAAAGTAATCTAATTAAAGAAAATATTTAATAATCTTTTTATGATTAACTTGATCACTGAAAGTGGTAATAGATGATTTCTTTAAAGGAGATTATAAATTTGTAGTAAATTGAAAAAAATTAAAAAAGAGTGAATGTAGTTGTCAATGAAAATGAATCATAGAAAAATGCTACGTATTATTGACTTGTAATAGTAGTAGTTAGAAAATTACACGGTGCTCAACGTTGATTTACAATAGCGTGACAATTTATTGTTTAATAATCCAAGAATCGGTCATGTTATTGTCTAAATGTCAATTATATTAGTCTATGGCAGTAATTTGTTTTTTCTTGGAAAAGACTAGATAATTGGAACTTCGGAAAATGGGCTCAGAAAAAACAAACTTTTATATAAGATTATTGAAAATTATATATTTGTTAGATATACGATAATATTATTTTAATAGACAAATAATTGGTCTTAAAAGAGGGCAGCAAAAAAAGATAAATTTTTATATCAGATTTAAGAAATTGTGAGATAACACTATTTTAGTAAAAAATTATATATTTATTAGACGAATTATATCATAAATTTAGTAGAATTATATCACATGATAAATTTTAAAAAAATAATAAAAAAATTTATTGTTCTGATATTATATAAAGTATTCAATCTAAAATTAATTAATTGTAATAAAAAGATTTAATTTAAATATAAAATTATAAAAAATTAGATATTTATTGAACTTGAGATAATATCACTTTATCAATTTCAACTAAAAAGAGATGTACACAAGAATTAAAAACCAAGAAAAGTTTCATCGTCCTTCTGAAATGGAAGATGGATATGGAACTTGGAACTTACTATATAGAACTAGACTACTTGCGGATGATTTTCACGTCCATTTTTTGCAGTTTTGATTTTGAAAGGGACTCGTACATTTTGTTTGAATAGGACTATATCTTCCTGGATTTCCTTTGGTTGGAATTAAGAGTGCAGATTTTAATTGCAAGCACAAAATTGGATCTAAATTTACGCATTTGTTTGCGCCTGATAGCTGAGCTGTAGGACTGCATAAATCTGCTAATGTATTTGCTAATTGCTATCTGATTTAATTTTCTCAAGAAAACTGGAAGGCGTGGTATGGTTTGACAATATGCTATGCCTTCAGCTTGATTGCAGTTATCTCTTTAGTTAAAGTAGTTTCATTGGTCCAAAACCCGCAGGTTCAGGCTCGGAAAAGAAATAATGAGACCAGCTTGAGGAACTACAATTTGATTAACGGCCATTTAAATTTTGAAATGTTCTGAATGAAGGAGTCAATAGTGGTTTCGGAAGATGCATGCCACCCAATGGCATGTAAATATTTCTCTTGAAGCTCTTTCGCTCCTTGTCCTTGCCTTATTTGTTTCACTTCATCGCTCTCCAAATCCATAAGCTTTTGAACTAAAATTGAAATTTCGCCTCTTGCTACCAAATTCTCTGTTGTGGACTGTTGTTTCTTCACCCGCCACCAATCTTCTAGTCCTCGACAATGAGCTTACTATTCAGGTTTTGATCAGCAAATAGAGGAAAGGTAAGAAAAGGAATGCCAGCAAATGTACTCTCTCGAACAGAAATCCATCCGCAATGAGTCCAAAACCCCCCACTGGAAGGATGGCATTGGCATAGCACCTTCAGTTGGTCACAACAAGGCACCACAAACCCCTGATCACCACAAGCATCCTTCGACTGGAAGTCTCCTCTCGAGCCACAGATAAGAACCGAACACCACTTTCTTGCAAAGCAGCTATGATTCATCCATTTGGACACTTGAAACTGAGAGAAAACTTCCCATTGACACGTACAAAACAGATCTGCCCAGGTTATCTGTAAAGCCACCGTAAGCAGTCGGATTCAACATGGTCAGGACTTGGAGAGGATTTGTCTTCAGGTTTTAAGTAAGGTATGGCAGGGAAAATTGTGTAGATTGGGAGGAAAAACTCTTCCTTTAAAGCATCAATGGATTGAGATTCAAGCTCGTAGATTGAAAGAAACAACAGATATTCTGCTTTACGCACCCACGAAATACAGCCCAAGATTTGCTTCAATATAACCGGGAAGATCCCTCCATTACACCCAGGAAGGTCCAACAAACGTGTCGAGGAAACCTCCAGAATGTAGTCAACTCGCTCATTCTTGTCTTCTACCTCGTTTGCAATTGAAGATAAACAAAATAAATTCAATTAAAATACTACATTTAATTTGAAATTACACTGCAGATTGTGCAACTTCTCGTTTTTCACATTCTAAAATCTTTTGGTCATCAGGGATTCAAAATCTCCTTGTGCTGAACATGTATTGGAACCTAGATGCTTACACTCCAATTATTTGCAACACAATAAGAACGATAAGTTGAAAACAGAAAATTAGAAAAAAAAAAAAAAAAGAAGGATTAAGAACAACGAAGAAGAATATGCATTACCTAACAAATCCACCGAGAAGTGGCCTTTTTACTGGAAAAAATGAAAATGGTGAAACACCGAAAACATTGTACTTTCCTTTTGGCCAGTAAAAATTTGACATGGGCCAAAATGACGCCACAGGAATATTCCTCCTATTCCAACAGACACTACCCAAAAGAGATGAGTGTCAGCCATAATAAGAGTACGTGGAGGCTCAAATTCATCCAGGAGCCGCTCAAATGGAGCCCCCATGTCGGTCCAAGCAACTTTTCATAAGAGTCGGTGGAGGCTGGAGCCGCTCAAATGGGTAATTACTATTTATGAATGGAATATTTTGCAATCAAAGTTTAACACGATTAGTTTTTCAAGAACAGTCCTTGTCTATCGCCGTCAACTACTCTTGACAATTTTACACGATGAGAAAAAAGAATAATCAGTGCCGGGTTCCTCCTGAAATGGAATTAATGAACGCATAAAGGTTAGCAGCAGAAGACCCACCTTCAGAAATTACTTTTTTCACAGCAATCCTGAAATGGAATCAAGATTGCAGCCTCAAAAGTTGGCGGCTTTAAGCCGCTCTGGTGGGATAACATTCGGGATTGCTTCAAAACGTGTGTTATCGGGCTTGGGTTCCGAGCCGAGGAAGTCGAGCCATTCTTCTGTGACAACCAAAGTTATGAGAATATCTTGACTTAATTATTTGACAACGGAGGTTCATCATGAGGTTGATGTGGCCACGGCCATGAAACGGCATGGCTACCACGTGGCATAATGTGGTTGGTTGCACATTGTTGAGTCCATGTCTGAAACTTGACTGAACTAGTTCACGAGTTCGGAAGAAGTGATACTTTTCAATTTTCAACTATGAAGTTCTTTAGTTTCTTACTGGAAACAGAGCATGAAAAGGGTACTATTTATTTTTGGATGAATTTTTTTTTTTCACACTTGAATTTGATTTGTACTACTAGTTTACAAGATTAGCATAATACTTGCGTGACACCAGGGGTTATTTTTTTGTTATTTTCATTTTATAATTTTTTATTATAAAATTTACTTTTTTAAAAAATAAAATGACAAAAGATAAAAATAAATAAAAATAACACATGGATATTTAATTGGTCTCATTTTTCTTACAAAATTTATGCAATTAAAACATAAAATAAAAAATAAAAAGGATAAAAACAAAAAAATAAAAATAAAAGTTTATAAAAGATGCTATATAGATAATTTCATTGAGTTTAAAATATTAAATTTTAAAATTAAATTATCAAATAATAATTTTATTAATATAATGAATATAATAAAATTAAAATATATATATATACTAAAAAATGAGTTAAAACAAAATATCTTAAACACGAATATGTCCTAATCTCGTTTCTCTAAATAAATTCAATCTCATTCCGATTTGATTTCAATTAAAAAAATCATCCCTATTGGATTGAGATGAATCAAAATTCATTGAATATAAATTATTTTTGACATCTCTATCAATTAACATTTTTTTAAAAATTTTATTTAATTAAAAAATAAAAAATATGAAAGATAAAAAATCAATTGAGGTGTCTCGTGGATATTTCTATTAGTCTCTTTTTTTTTCACAACATTAATTTAACTTTAAAAACCATAAAAAATAAGAATACATAAAAGAAAAACAAAAAATAAAAATAAAAGAAGAAAAAAAGAAAAATAGAGTTCCTTGGGGTATAACATAACATTTTAATTGAGTTTAAAATATTAATATATTAAATTAAAGTAATAAATAATACATTAATTAATTAAAAATAATGAAAAATAATAGAAGAAAAAGGTAAAAAGAAAAAGAAAGATTGTCGGACTCCAAATGAATATTCAAATTAAATTTAAAATATTAATATCTTAAATTAAATTATACAATAATAATTCAATTAATATAATATATATAAATATAAATTGACTTTGTGTAGATAAATATTTTTGAGTTAAGACGGACGGTATCTTTCATTTAAGGTTAAAGTTTTCTTTGGGTCTCTAATTCACGAATACAAAACAAAAAAATTCAACTTAATGGATTAAAAAAAAAGAAAATAGTTAAAAAAAAGCTTAGTAAAATAAATTCCACTTAGAAAATTTAAAATTTTTTAAATATATATTTATAAAATTTTAAAAATTTTGAGAAAATTTAAAAAAGCAAAAAAACAAAAAAAATAAAAAACACAATAAATGAGAAAGGGGTTATCTATAGGTTAGTAAAATTAAAAATATATATTGTAATTATTTAAATTACATTTCTCTTCTAAACTTTCTTGTCGCAGAAAATCTTTTACAAATTGAGATTCACAAAAAAGCATTTGCTAAAGTTTGACTGAAAGCTTTTGTCGGGGTTGAGATAAGATTAAACTAATGACATGTGAAGTAATTGAAACCATAAAGAATCAACAACTGGTGTGGAACGTAACGTATTTTTGTTGGACTTTAGGAAAAACCAAAGGCCAAGTAGGAATTTTCAAACAAGTTTTGTTCTGATCAGTCATAACTGACAGCAACTAGCAACCCGCCCTGCCTTGGAGCGTACGTTTCTTTTCAAAGGGATTTTTTTATTCTGACCCTTATTTGATAAAATCACATGCTAAGGTATTTAAATAAAGCAAACAAAATTCTGATAGATGAGGTAAGGGATGACTCAATATTACTAATCAGAAAATTATTTAATTCGTTTGATTAAGAACACTCGGCAATAATCTATCTGTTGTCTGCTACCAAATGAAAAGGGCTTGTTCGTATTGAATTTGTCTTTTGCTTTTGACTAGGGATCAATATTTTACTGATAGAACCGAAATGTACGCAAATTTTAGGCATTTTGATGTGCCTATGCAACTGGACCACGTCAGGACCTCAGAATAGTAGATGAAACCCTTTCAATAGCTGATATGGCATTTGCTATGTTTTCTCAGGAAAATTGAGGGGGCTGGTGGATTTTGAGATTGAAATTTTAATCTTTTTGTTGTTTGGGTTCTAGACTTACAGATGCAATTATAACTCAATTAGTTCATTGAGCTTTTGCCATTTATTTTGTTATGGTTCATACATGTTCATGTAGAAATTAAAACCTGAACCATATAGATAGCATACAATGAAAATGTTGCTGCCAACTGGTAATCAATAAAGTAAAACAAATGCGTACCGTTTATATTAATCTTCTAGTCAGTTATTCAAGGTTATAGAAAATCAAAGCTCCAAGTTGACATCACAACCAATCTAATCAATGAGCCTGGCGCCATGGTCTTGTGAGATGTCTTTGATGAAAGCATCGAGGTTTATCTGAGATGATCCATCTTTTGCAACTGCTTTTCGGCAACTGTCTTTCAGTTCTCTCACTGATTTTCTCATGTTTTTCACCTCATTGTTCTCCGAATCCATGAAACTTCGGACAAGCTCTGAAATTCTTGCTCTTGTTACCAAACTTTCATCTCTTTGTTGTTCTTTCACCCTCCAGCCAATCTTCCAGTCCTCAACAATTTTCTTACTATTTGGAGCTTGATCAAAGATTATAGGAAAGGTGAGCATTGGAACGCCCGCAAAGATAGCTTCAAGAGTGGAATTCCACCCGCAGTGTGTTAGAAACCCTCCAATAGAAGAATGGCATAGCACCTTCAATTGATCACACCAGGGCACTACTAACCCCATACCACCACAACTGTCCCTCAGTCGAGAAGTTTCTCCACGAGCTACCCACATGTAAGGGACACCGCTATCTTGCAGCCCTGCTGTAATTTCACCCATTTGTTCTTCTAAAACTGAGAGGAAACTACCTAAGGAGACGTACAAAACTGAGCATGGAGGATGGGAATCTAGCCATTGCAGATAATTGGGGACATTTGGAAAGGTACTCTCCGAGGAGTTTTCATGAAGTTCAAAGTAGGGGATTGCAGCGCCAATTGGGTATATGGGAATACTGAATTTTGCTTTTAGTGTGTCAATGACATGGCCTTCAAGCTCATAGACTGAAGTGAATAGAAGATATTTGGCCTTTAGCACCCATGAAATACATTCCAAGGTAAGCTGGATAACTCGCCGCGCATTTCCTCCAAGAATCTCTTGAAGGTCTGTCAAATGACATGGTGAAATTCCAGGATTCTGCTCCTCAAGTTCACTGCCCTTTTCTGTTACACAATTATTAATAAATTGCTATCATCATTTAGCAATTGGGACATGTTGGTATGAAAATGAATAAATCAACTAAGAAAAATGTTATACTGTAACTTGGTACCTAATAAAGCACTCAGTAAATATTATACTGTAGATTAGTACCTAATAAATCGACTAAGGAATGCCAGTTTTCAGTGAGGCCAATGCTATGCAATATGGAAAACACTGTCGCTGATATTGTGCAGAGTGAGGCCACAGGAAAATTTCTTCTATTTCCGATGCGGATTGCCCATTTCAGCTCAGTATCAGCTATGACAGCAGTCACTGGTAGCTGAAGAGAATCAAGGAGCTCCTCAAATGGAGCTTCCATCTTTGTCATAACAGCTTCATAAAAGCCAGGAAAATCAGCACCTCGAACTAGCTCAGATGGGATAACATTTGGTATCGAAGCAAAGTGTATGTTATCAGGCTTAGGACACGATCCAATGAAGTCTGACCACTCCTTGGTAACGACGAATGTGATCACAAGATCATGCTTTCTTGAAGCTAGTAACTTACACAGGTTCATCATGGGATTGATATGGCCTCTACCAGGATAAGGTATTGCCACTATATGAGTGCTGGTTATAGGTTTCATGTGGATGGGATTCATGCCAGAAATTTTAACACCGCAAGATAAATGAGCTTTTTATTTTTGTCACTTGTAGGTTTATACTATATATATACAACTTTTTTTAAGTTAAGGTTGAACTTATCCATCTTGTACATATTGTTTTGGTGGTAAGTGGTAACCATTTGGACCAAAGGAAAAATTGTTTCGATTGACTTTGACTTTTAAAACTTAATTATAAAGGGCAACTTCTTTCTACTTGCCCTTTTTATATGATGATTGCTTTAAATGTTATGGATGTTCGCTGTTTAAAATTTTGCAGGAAATTTCAACCCATTTCACCTAGTTATCTGCAGAAGTTTAATACAAGTTTTTTTGTACAAATAACTTGAATACTGTTGATGGTGAAAGGGTTCTTTTAAATGCTGCTTCCTAGTTGATAGAAAAGAATAGGAAAATAAATTCTACACATGGAACAAAAATATCTGCATGCTTTATTTGTCATAAACACTTGTCCAGTTTTCGCTAAATCTGTATCAATAGAGGGAAAGAATTAGGTTTATATAATTGATAAGCTGGCAGTGATTTGCTAAAACAGTTTCTTTTTTTTCCAGTCAAAGGAATTTGATAAACCAATTCTCAAAGTGCTATTTTAGAGCCTTTTTTATCCATAAATTCCTTGAATGAAACAAATCCAATATAAATACGTTAACATGCTTCATTGGCCAGGTGACTAGAAATAGCCCTGAAGAAGGCATCAACAATAGTTATGGGAACATCATCTTTTTTCCTAGATAGCAACTTGCAAAGATTCATCAACCATGCATGAATCTGATGATAAACCTTTCTTTTTTCTCAAGAAAAAACCATTGATCAGATCGTACTTTCAACAGAGGATGAAGCCGCTAAACTTCCAGCTTTTGATCTTTTGACAGGGAATTTATTGCCTGTTTCAGAGCTTGAATGTGACTTGCAGCTGATTATTTGGACGCCTGTCGTTTTATTGCTAGAATCACTGGGGGTGAGCTTCATCAGGATTCAGGACCCACAAGAAATTCGGTGCATTTGTATATCTTCAGTGAGTCGCGTCGGCTTTTGGAAAAGTTTTGTTTTTTGACTATTGGGATACGGACGGTTGTTTATTTCTATGATCAGCATTCGGTGATTGAATTGGTTTTATTGCTTGTTTATGAGAAAAAATAGCGCCATCATTCAGTTCATCGGTTTTAGCATTTCAAGACGCAAATTAGTGAACCATAGCATGACCCTAGCTTAAGCTTACTGTATAAGAAAACAACCCAGTTCTTTACACCAGCAAAGAAGGCAATTCCATGTGTACACAACCACGTGTTTTTTGTTATTCAATGTTACCCACCAGGATTTTTGAGGAAAATATTAAATCCGCTTGACCTAACGAGCAGTGATTACATAATTGGAACAACAGATCAGTAAAGAACTCAGAATAGCTAATGAGTGTGCCTTTCCGATATGTCCTTGATAAAAGAATCTAAATTAAGATCTGAGGATCCGCCTTTTGCAATTGCTGTTTGACATGTTTCTTGAACTTTTCTAGCCCTTCTTCTCATTTCCTTCCCGTCGTTGCTCTCAAAATCCATAAACTTTCGCACAAGCTCTGCAATTTCTTCTCTCATCACCAAATGTTCACCTACCTTGTTCTTCTTCACTCTGCATCCAATCTTCCAATCTTCTAATATTTGCTTACTATTCGGAATTTGATCCCAAAATATAGGAAAAGTCAGCATTGGAACGCCGGCATATATAGCCTCAAGAGTGGAATTCCACCCACAATGCGTCCAAAATCCTCCCACAGAAGAATGGCATAGCACCCTCAGCTGATCAGACCAAGAAATCACTAGTCCCTGACCACCATAGCAGTCTTTGAATCGTGAAGAGTCCCCGCGTGAAACCCACAAGTACCGAACACCACTCTCTTGCACCCCAGCTACAATTTCATCCATTTGGGCAGCAGAAACTGATAGAAAACTTCCCAAGGAGACATACAGGACTGAACCTTTAGGTTGCAAATCCAGCCACTGAAAGTAGTCAGGACCATCAGGATTATTAGTTGTTGAAGAAATTTCTTTCAGGTCAAGGTACGGTATGCTAGGGCCAATCGCATAGACAGGAAAAGGTAACTTTGCTTTAAAAGCATCAATGACTTGGAATTCAAGCTCATAGACAGAGGTGAAGAGAAGATACTGTGCTTTGGGCACTGATGAAACACAATCCAGAGCAAGATGCAAGGTTTGGAGGCCATTTCCATAGAAAATTGTTGGCAGATCTGCTAGGTGTATCGGAGTAAGTCCAGGGATGTAATCCACAAGCTCATTTCCCTGCTCTAATATGACAAAAGGATGCGATAAGAGCAAATTACACCCATTAATATTCTATTATTGTCAAAGCTCCAGCTTGGTAACTTGATAAGGCAAAAACAAATAAGCTGCCTATATGCACTTAAACAGTACCTGATAATTTTAAACATGATAAGAAAATAATATAAAAATAATATAAAAATAATATGATTTAAAATTTTAGTCAATTATATAACAGTATGACAAAAATTTTAAAAAAATGTTTTATGTTTGGACATGAATTTTATATAATAATATTTCATATTTTATACATATGAACATAATACCTATGCAGGAATTGTCAAGTCTAGCTTAAAGTTAACATTTTTTTTTTTGGTTGCAAGGGGCAGAGCCCTACAACAAAGAGAGGGGAGAGAGACTGGGGTCGAATCCCAACCTAATGTCTTCTTAAAGCTTGCTCCTTATGTCTTTTTAAGGCTTGCTTGACTAGCCTAAAGTTAACATCGTCACTTAAAAAGGAGCTATTTGAAATCCTTGCACTGAAAGTGTGGCAGTAACAATTATATCCTAAAGTTTTTACTGAAAGACAGTGATCATCAGGCAAAGATGAATTAGCTTTATGCCATATAAGTTATGGGTTGATATTTATATTATTCGTATCTAAACCTCATTCAAAATGTCAGTCTCTATTACTTCAATACTCCCCACCAATTCCAGGCTATACAAACTCATTTGGGTGTTTTGCCATGGGAAGATAAGATTAGGGAAAATGTCTCATGTGATTAAAAGGATACCAGGTTTTCCTTCATTTGACAGACAATAGCTTTTATATTGATTTAAACTTAGACCAGTTTTTTGTGACTTGAATTCAATTTTAAGCTTGCTTGATACTGAAGGCGAATCTCAGTGCAGATCTCTTGGGAACATAGTGCAACTAACAATGACAAATAAGGCCAAAGCATGAAAACTGCATTATTTTAATCAAAACACAACAAGAATACAGAGATACCTGACAAATCAGCTGGGAAATGCTGGTTTTCCACGAGGAGGTTGAAATTGAGAAAAATCGACAACACGGATGCCGACATGGTCCAAAGCGAAGCCACCGGAATATTCCTTCGTTTCCCTACTTCGACCGTCCAAGCCATATACGTATCAACTATAATGGCCTTTGCTGGGAGCTCCAGCCGATCAAGGAGCTCCTCAAACGGAGCTTCCATTTTCGTGAGCACAGCTACGATGAAGGCAGGGAAGTCCTTGGCTCGAACAAGTTCAGATGGGATTACGTTGGGGATGGTCCTAAACCGGACGTTGGCCGGCTTGTTTTCCGAACTGATGAAAGAGAACCATTCTTCAGTGACAACAAAGGTTATGAGAATGTCAGGGCTTTTGGAACATAGCAGCTTGCAAAGGTTCATCATCGGATTGATGTGGCCTCTACCGGGATAAGGCAAGGCCACCACATGGCATCTACTGGTTAGTTCTGGTTTGGGTGATTCCATCGCCTGGAAGTTTTCTAGTGGTTCTCTGGTCGATTGGCTGAAATGTTAGAGCTCAGACGGAGATTGAACCCTGATCGAAAACTTATCTGACATGTCGCGTGAGCTACAGACTCGCACTTGCCGCTTCATTATGTGGCTGGCTCGAACATCTATAAAAAAAAAAACACTGTACAAACAATGTTTAACGATGAAATTTGACAACAATTTCACTTTCACTTCACCTTATTGTAAAAATATTTAGATAAAATTATTTAATTAACGTTTTTTATAAGCCCTACCCTAATTTCTATTTTTTTTTCTTTTTATTCTTCTTCTTTTCTTCTTCCTTTTTTGTCCGATATTTTTTTTCATCAATTCATACCTATCATAAAATTATAATTATTATCTAATATATTGTAAAAATAAATGAAAAAAAACCATGAGATGAAGAGTTTGAGTTTGGCGTTTTAGGTTCATAAATTTTTAGATTTATACTTTTGAAAAATTTTAAATTTTTTTTAATTTGTATTTTTAAAAGCTTTCAAAAACATAAATTCAAAAGGTTATAAAAGTTTTTGCTATAGAAAATGAAAATTTAAAAATTTTAAAAATCTTTCTAAACTATAAATCCAGAAGATTTTATAAACTTTTGAAAAATAAATCATGAAGTAACATTTCACGTAAAAAAAAAAATCAATATTATATTTTAATTTAATCAATATTTAATTAAAATCAAACAAAATTGCACGCTTTGGTGGCTTGATTAATTTTGGAACCTGTGATTTTCAATTTTGAATTGAAGTTTTTAGGATAATTTTTGGGATTAGAGATAGGTTTGAAGGTAGAGATTGAATAAAAATGAAGAAAGAAATGGAAAAACGGATGCAAGGATATTTAGTAAAAATAAAAAATTGTAATCAAAGATATAATGAGTAAAAATATTTTTAAATTTCCAATTTAAAAATAAAAAATAATTAATTGTAGAGACTAATTTTTGGAATATGAAAAAAAAATTTCCGTAGGCTTTATTTAATGCTTCTGAGCAGTGGAACGAAATGTTCAACGACAAAATAACAGTGAGAGAATCATTGCACCATCCTTCAAAATGAAGCAAAATCTAGCAGGCAGATACTAACTTTTTGCTTCAATGACTTTTGCATCAGACAGATCATGTCATTGACAATCTGACTTAAAACTTTAACAGTTCGGTGAGTGGTGATGAACAATTTGTCTTCTACTTATAAATAATTTAAGTTATAAGCTTATATTCCGTTTGTTCCAATTTTTTTTTAGTGTTTTAAACTTATGGGTTTTTTAATATTAAATATATTAAAATCAAAATTTTTTTCTTAAATTTCCTAAAAATTAACACAAAAAGAATAATAACTTATAAGTATAAACTTTATTAGTAATTCAATTACTTAGCATATTTAAAATAGAACTATAAAAATAAAATAAATTTAGTATAGATAAATTTAATTTAGTGACTAAAATATTTGAATCGACATCAAAAATCTAATTTCAAATTAAATTTTTTTTTATTTATACTAAAATTTTATTTTCACGATATAATAAAAAAAAGATTAAGCTGTTAAGCGAAAATTGAATAATGATTTTTATACAATCTTTTTTTTTTTCAATCATTCAACTAATTAGATCCCTGCCAATTTTAAAGACGGTTTCAAAATATTTAATTTTTAAAATTTTTTATTTAATTGCAAACTAATAAATTTTTTTGACTTGAGGAATCTTATTTTTCAGAACACAATTGTCTTAGACTTTTTTTGTTAACAAAAACAGAGATCTAACACAATGGAAAATAAGCTGAGACCTAATGGGATTGAAATGACTGACATTATTAACTTTTATTCCACTACGCTTTGAAACAAGAAGAGTGACAGCAAGAGAAGAAATCGGAAGAAATTGAAATGAAAATGCCAATGATAGTCGTATAAAGCTGCCTTATTATTGCTGGACCCACATTAAATGGCGTACACACAAACGGCACTAGTTCTTTTGTTTTTCTGGAGGTTCAAAACTGTGTGGTTACATCAAAAGAATTGTACGAACCAATACCATTCTTGAAAAGATAACAAAGAAAACAAATAAGTCTATGCCAAAATCAATGATCGGTACCCAGTATCTATCAATGGTGATATGGCACTTTATTCAAGAGATGCCTTATTTCAGTGGCAAAAGGACGCATGCGCAGACACATCTCGGTGAATATTATTGTTGGGTTAAAAATTTTTAATCTAATTATATCAATAAAAATAAAATTAAATAATAAATTAAATATATAAAAAATAATAATTTAACGTGATTTAATTTAATCAATTTATATTTATAGATAAAAAATAAGATTCATTAGTTATAAAAAATTATAAATATATATCAAATCATCAACCTCACTCAATAATCAATACTAATAAGATACTCTCAATCTCTTCTAGTCCTTAAAATATTTTCAACTCAAACAAATATAAATCCAAACTCTTATGTACCTTTTCAACCCAATCAAATACATACACATATATTTTCATACACATATGCTTCTAAGTCTCCTATAGTCCACTCATAAACAAACATACACACCCATAAGATATAAAGCCCTAATATTCCTATGAGGTGTCTATCCCACAAAATCCTACAACTCTCTTATTTTTCTTATATTTAACTCTGTAGAGACTTCACATATTTATAACCATACAAACTTGTCAATTAAAAATCTCTTTCCTCTTAGAATTCTTCTCTTGTAAGTCAAACTTATCTATTAAGAATTTTCTTTATCTTAGAATTCTTTTTTTGTAAGTCTTCTTATCCATCAAGTAATATATAACAAATCTCAAACAAATCTCTTATGAGATTTAAGTCAATATTCTTAATAATCTTCACATTAACTCAAATTTCATCAAATCATCTCTCTTCATGCTAGACATATTTGGCTCAACCTACAATGAAAGTTTCACAGTCATTTTCTATTCTCTTGTGTTTTCACGCTTCATACAAACTAATCATCAATCTTCAAAACTTAAACTCGAATTCTTTTCTCGAATCGAGTGCTTCTGGACTTACTTCTTTCCATGTCTCAAATCATGCACTTTTCACATTTTAAATCTTTAGCTCTTCTCACATCTCGAACTTTCAGCTTTTTCACATCTCGAACTTTCGGCTCTTTTCACATCTTGAATCTTCAACTCTTCTCATGTTTCGAACCTTCAACTCTGATACTACTTGTTAGGGAACATCACAGCTCTGATACCATTTGTTGGGCTAAAAGCCTCCAATCCAATCACACCAATGGAAGTAAAATCAAACAATAAATCAAACATACAAAAGATAATAATTTAATGTGATTCGATCCAATCAACCTATGTCCATGAATGAAAAACAAGATCCACTAGTTGTAAAGAATTACAAACATACATCAAATCATCAATCTCACTCAATAATCAATACTTATAAGACACTCTCAATCTCTTCTAGTCCTATGAAGTATTCTCAACTCAAACAAATACAAACCCAAACCTTTGTACACCTTTTTAATATAACCAAACACGTACCCATATGAAATATTCTTAACTCAAACAAATACAAACTCAAACCCTTTGTGCACCTTTTCAATATAACCAAACACGTACTCATATGCTTCCATACATCATACCTATGTGGATCCTCTCAGTCTCCTTTAGTCTATTCACAAACAAACATACACACTCGTAAGACGTGGGATGTCTATCTCACAAAATCTTATAATTTTTTTTCTCATACCTAACCCTGTAGAGACTTCACCTATTTATAAACATATAAACTTGCTCATTAAGAATCCCTTTCCTCTTAGAATTCTTTTCTTGTAAGTCAAACTTACCTATTAAAATTCTTTTCTTTTAAAATTCTTCTCTTACAAGTCAAACTTACCTATTAAAAATCTCTTTTATCTTAAAATTCTTCTTTTACAAATCTTTTTATCCATTAAATAATATCTAATAAATTTCAAATAAATATCAAAATTTATTATGAAATTTGAGTCAATATTTTCAACCACTATCACTTGTGTAGGATGTAATCATGAAAAGGTAGGAAATTTTTCAAAGGGAAAAAAGAAAAGTACTAGTAGATGATCTTTAATTTTAATCTAAATGTCATTTATGAAGTCAACAGTCATTCCTTATGATCAATATTGTTTGTGGCATTTTGAAATGTCATGAACAATGGCTTGAAGATCAGTGTCTGATGATCCTCCTTTTTGAACTGCTTGTCGACAAATCTCGCTAAGTTTCTTTGCTCTTATCCTCATTTCTTTCTCCTCTTTGCTTTCCAAATCCATAAAACTTCGGATAATCCCTGCAATTTCTTCTCTTGGCACAAACTCTCTGGTCTAAAATTATTCTTCACCCTCCAACCAATCTTCCAATCTTCTACAATTTGCTTACTATTTGGAGTTTGATCCCAATATATGGAAAAAGTATGCATAAGAATTAATAACACCGTTATAAATGGCTTCTGAAGTGGAATTCCATCCACAAAGTGACCAAAACCCCCCGATGGAAGGATGCCACAACACTCTCAGTTCGTCACACCAAGGCACTATTAATCCATTTCACCTTTCCTTTCGTGCAACCCAAAAGGACCTAACACCGCCAATACACAACCAAGCTGCAAGCTCATCCAATTGGGCACTCGTAGCTGAATGCTTCCTTGTGAAACATACAAGACAGAACTTTCAGTTGTGAATCTAGCCACTGGTTGTAACCGTTGGCAATAGGATTCACCCCGGAATGGTCTTCCAGTTTGAAGTAAGGAATGCGAGGGCCAATGTGATAGATTGGAGTAGAGATTGTTGCTTTCAAACCGTCAATGATTTGAGATTCCAGCTTTTGCACTGAAACAAGAAGGAGATATTGCACTTTGGACACGCCCGAAACTGCGTCAAGGCCTCGAAGCAATACGTCTAGACCTTTTCCATGCAGGCAAGTGGGAAAGTATACTTTCCGAATTGAAGAAACTCTAAGGATACAATCAACAATCTCCTCGTTCCGTCAGGACTATAAAAAATTAAAATAAAAAAACATAGCTTGAAAATACGAAAGGAAGAAAAACAGTTGACTTTATCATCCAATTACCTAACAAATCAATGGGGAAATGTCGGTTCTGAACCAGGAGATCAAAATGATGGAAGACGAAACATACCAAAGCCCGCATGGTCCAAAACGATGCTAACGGAACATTCCTTTGATTCCCCACCCTGACGGCAAAGGTCATATAAGTATCATAAATGATGGCGGTAACAGGGGCCTGAAGCCGATTGATAAGCTGCTCCACTGGAGTCTCCGTCTTTCTCAAAACTTTTTCGAAGAAGTCAGGAGAGTAGTCTTCGGAGCGGTCCAGCTCGGAGGTGTAGTCATTAAAATGTTATAAAGTTTTTTATTAAAGCTTTATGTCTCTTTTAAATCACACATAAAATTAAGATCACGTTAAATATTAAAATTTTAAAAATGATATTGTAAATATTAGCTTTTTCAAATCTCTATTTTAGCTGTTGTTTTAATTTAATCGGACTGATTCATTACTATATTAGGACAAAAGGAGAGGAGCCGCTAACCACTCTGATTAGTGCATGTCGGTTCGCGGATGCTCCCACTGATTTCGAATTTTTTAATTTTTTCATACCCAAGATATTATTAATCTAGTATATCCGAGATAATAAAATATTAATTTTTGACATCATTTAAAATATCATTATATAATATATATATAAATAAATAATTAAAAAATTAATTAAAAATTATAATTTTTTAATAATATCGAGTCGGGTTAGGGTCGGATATGCCTAAAACCCGACCCCGATTATTTTCTAACATTACCCAACTCGACCCGAAACCCGAAATTCAAAAAAAAAAAACCCGACCTCATATGATCGGAACGGGTCGGAACCCGCCGGGTCGGGTTGAATTCCCATCCCTACTTGGATTTATTCGTGTCTCAGGCGACAACCGGCCGTCACTCAAGGGCGCGGACGGTGAATTTACGGATTAATTAAAGCTTTTCATTTCTGTTATGGGCTTTGATTAGAAAGTGAGTGCTCACCTTGATTTAAAACTGGCCCAAATTTAATGAGCCTGATAGGTCTGGGCTTTTCTGATAATAACACATCTGACTTTGACCAGCCCAATCATAACCTTTAAACTTTTTTGGACTTGAAGACAGGTGATGTCTCTTTGCCTTCAACAAAAAAAAGTTACAGTCCAAAATACACCATCGGAAGTTTTTTTTTTTTTTTTTTTTCTAATAGGACAAATGCTCATACAAGAGAGAAGAGGGATGACGAGATTAATACTTACATCCATTTATTTTTCTTAAAAAATTTTATCCATTAAGTCAAGAGATGAAAGACGTATCATCGGAAGTTAGTAACACAGCCAAGAAACCTCAAGTGGTGGGCCAGAAGGGATGCAAATGGGCCATTCAATGGCCACAATGACCACATTCGTGGTCCTTTAGTGAGGACCACCTAAATTTAGGAGGGAAATAAGCACAAGAGCAAAGAGGATTTCACTCAAATACCTAAAAAAATAAATAAATAAGCATTTAACTTACCAAAATTTCGGAGTTGGCAAAGGTGCGTATAGGCTTTGTTAATTGTGGTAATATATATAGCAATGTATAGAAAATGTTTTCCTACTATCTGTCATTGTCAGCTAATGCTGAATTAATGAGGTAGTTGAGTGGCAATATCAATTCTATTACAATACATAAGGTTTTCGTCAGCTTGAAATCACCTTGGCTTTGTCCTAAAGCAAATATAAATGGCTGTCATCCTTGAAAATAAAGTCTCCGATGCTCTACCTACAAACTCCACCACACCGTTGTTGGCCGGAAATGACTGCAATTCTATTGCATTCAAGTCCCATAGGATGAGCAAAATTTCACAAGTAGAAACTGAATTTCGATTTCATTCACTTTTTTGGAATTGAAAGTAGGAAAGGAATATTGGAGGAATTGGAATCTTCTCTTGTTATTTACAAGGATAAATGCTTGTTATGATATGATATGACCCAAATGAAATCTTGACTCAGCATGAACTTCAAATTACAATTAACAGTTTGCTATTAACAAACAAATAATAATGCACAGTTTGACAAAGTTAAAGAGCAATGGGGCAACCTCCCAATCAATGGCAGTCTCCTTCCGGAACATTTTTAATGGATGGGCCTCCCATCAGAAAATGACGGTAGACGTAAAAGAGACCCATAAAGCGGAAATGCTCCAAAAAGCCACACCAACACAACATGGAAAAAACCCATAGGGTAAAAAGAAAAGGAGAGAAATCAATTCATGAACGTACAAAAGGACCACCGTGTGGTTTCATTAGCCTAGTCCCCAGAATAATTTGATGCATTTCCCTACTAAATAATTTACTGACATTTGTCCTTCTGTTTTGTACACAGTAAAAACCTTTTTCTAGGACTCGGTGAATTGTTCTTGACGCTGTCCATCACCAAAAGCCAGGAATAGACCATTTTTGGGCATGAATAGTTGGGTCAATTTATCTGCGTACAGCGTAATGGAGCTAGGGTCCACAACAGAAAGCTCCATTCGGAAATGCCCAGAAAGTTTGGGGTGAAAAGATATTTCACAATTCACTGTATATAATATATATTCTGGGCGAGAGTTGGAAAAGATATTTTTTTTCATTGAGACAAAAACAAAGCATATTACGCATGAAAAAGTCCAAAGAGTAACGGATATTTTATGAGATATTTGAAAAGATCGCTTTTGGGTTATCTTCCTACGAAACTCTCTTCACAAACCGGCCCTGTAGCAACCAAAAATAGCATTCTAAAATACACAAATTTGAATACATATACACATGTAATTATAATAAAGAGAGAGAAAGAGTTGATCAGCACAAACCTTGAGCCTTGGTCTTTTATCTGCATTGAGTTTGCGGACTTGATACCTTATCTTCTTGGAGAACAATCTAGTCTGACGCTTCTCTTTGTATCTAAGAACACTGGCTTCCCTTCTTGTTCGTTCTTCTTCCATCACAGGCACCTCCCCCATCTACAGAAATTTCAACTAAAGTATATATCAACACGTGCATATTGATCATTATAAGACTATTTTCTCATGATAATTCACTACTTAAAAATCATTTCAACAGAATCTTATAGATGAGGGATCTAACTCCATTGAACCTGTCTTCATATTATATATATATATATATATATATAAGTTGTCTGACAGAATTCTAGGCTAAAATGCAAAATCCTCTGTTTTTTCCCTTCCTAATTACATATAGTAGATAATCTCTCATTGAACAGAAGGGAAACATAGATGCTGATAATTAACATTAATTTACCCGTGAAAATACAATAAGAAACAGAAATAAGGAGAAGAAATGGATTATAAGTCAGTTGAATACTAACATAATAGCCATTGCTCGCCATTGAAATCGAATAATCATCAGCCCATAAAGGTCCACGATCCGACCACGCATCCAATACATCTTGATAATTCAAATTCAAGTTCAATGAAACGCTTTTCTCATCATCTAATTCCCAGAAACCGAGATTTTCTTTCTTTACAACCTGGTTATATTCACTTTCTTCTTCAAAGCATTTCCCTGTATGAACTAATTTCTGGTCTCTTTCGTCCTCTTCATCTTCTTCTTCAGCATTGTGGTATCCGCTTTCCCAGTCCATGAAGTCCCAACCGAGATGACCATGTATCTTATTACCTGGCAATTTTTCTTCATTTTCAATGCCCAAAATACCTTCCAACTCATCCGTAATATCAATCTCTCCATCTGCATAGCTTTCTTTGGAGTCGTTGAATTCAGTGACAGTGGCATCCGGAACCTGTTGTTCTTCCATCTTTGGGATTCTTAAGAATGAATCGTACCCCATCTTATCTAATATCTAGCTTGCCAATTGTCCCTCTTCTTTTACTCCCTCTTTATGTTATGAACTTTTGTTCGCAGTGCATGGCAATTTCAACTTAACAGATAGGAGAGTTGAAATGGATATTTCTTTCGTTTTTTAATGCTTTTTTGTCTTACATGGGACCTTATCCTCATGCTATTGGTCAATTCATTCTATACTTGCTCCTGATTGGCTACTGGGTTCCAGCTCGGAAGTGAATGGTGGAGCCAGTACTTTTAATATTTTTTCAAATATTGAAAATTGAAATATTGATTATGAAGTATGAACATCTCTCTCTCTCTCCTATGGAAAAAGAAGAAAATATGGTATCCATATCAAGAAGCACGTGATTTAAAGAAAGTTTCTTTTCATGGCACTTTCATATGAAGAAGAAGAAGAAGAAGAAGAAGATTCATTGTTAAGGCATCCCCTTAATAAGAGAACTGATACCATAGAGATAAAATCACATTTATCTTTTAACAATTTTAAGCTTAAATATATATAATTTTATAAATATATTTCTCCAACATTAATTATTATATGTTCGCATGTGCTATGTACATTCCCCAAATTGGTGAAAAATGAGTAGTAGTAGTTAGGGGATTGAAAACAATAACCAAAAAAAAAAAAAAGTAGTAGAGTCTCAATTGAAAAAAATTGGTGAAAAATGAGCAGTAGTAGTTAGAGGTGAGAAAAAAAATTAAAAAAATAAAAAATAAATTTAAAATTATAATATTTAATTCGCTTTAAATCACTTTTTTATTTTATGTGAATAAAAATAAAAATATTAATGTATATATTAAATTTGAATCAAATTTTGAGTTTAGATGTGGAACATACAAAAAAAAAATCTAATTGTATATTTTTAAAATTTTTATAAAATAAAAATAATTATTTTATATATAAATATATTTAAATGTATTAAAAATTTTATTAAAATAATATATAAAAATAAAAATTTTAAATTTAAAAATTAATGAACTAAATCAACTCAATAAAATTTAATTCAAATTAGATTAATCTAAAAAAATCGATTCAAATTTAAATCAAATTTTAAAAATTAATAATTTTTATCAAAAAATTTAAATAAAATTCGATTTTATCTGGATCGTTATCAACCTTAGTAGTACAGGAAACGGAAAAATCAGCATAAAAAAATAGAAATAAAAAAACATGACATGGAAGATGAGAGGAAGGGCCATTTAGGTTTAGCCTAAGGGTAGGTGCCTTGGTGGTGCTCTTGCATGCGTCGCTATCTGCTGAGCTGGGCCTATTTTTGATGTACTACGACATGTATCTTTTTCCATTTCTTTTTCAATCTCCTCGTAGATATACCATCTGCTAACTAATTGTTACTCCCCTCTCAATAATTTGAAGAAAAAAAGGAAGGGCGCTCTTTCATGACATGGCCACTGCAACAGCGGGCGGATGCGCACTTTTACGGGACTTCTGTCTCGGTCGCACAGAAGTAGTAGTAGTAGTAGAAGAACAGTAGGTTAAGAAAAAAAAAAAAGAGGAAACAGCAGCGGTAAGTTCAGCCTGGATTCTTAAAATCAACAACAGAATGATGAATATAGCTACTTTTGACTTTTCTATGCCTCTTTTCGTTTCTCTCAGGCTAGCTACCTTATATGTATTCTCACAAGCTAAACACGAGGATTCGTGTATATACTGTTAAATATATATAAAATATTAAAAATTTATAGAGCATGTTAATTTACAAATAAATTAAATATAAAATATATTTTTAATTTTTATTAAAATTTTAAATCATATTAATTTTATATTATATCATGATATGTATTTAATATTGTCTCGTCAATGTACAAAATAGATGAAATATTCTTTAACAAAAAACTAATGGATTGGTGATTTAAACATTTCCTTTTTTTATAAATTTACTCAATAAATTCTGAATTAGTGCTTTTCCTCCCCCCTAAATAGTACATTTTTTTCATATGCCGTGGGAGAAAACTAGAATTGCATATCTCAGTATGTTAATAATTATTAGCTTGGTAATAAAATGCTGATCAGTCAATCCTCCAAAAGGATTAACACTGTTAAAAAAAAGACCATAGAGGTTTTACCAACCATGCAAATTTCCTATAACGACTGAATATGAAGGCATGTCACAAAATATATATATATATATATATATATGTATATATGGCGTCGATCGAGTTAGGGTATTAACCTTTTTGTGCAGAAGCAAAAGAACTTCTAGTAAATAAAAGAGGAAGAAGACAAGTTGAACGAATCAAGGACAGCTTCTAAATTTGACTTCATAAACATACTTCTGCATAAAGTTAGGAACTTGGTGCTTTGGTCTTGTAATTATTCTTTTAATTATAAAAGAACATTTCTCTGATTTGACGTGAATGTGCTTGTAAATAAACTATTTAACTTTGTAATATAACATATATATAATTAGTACTCTATTAAAAATACGTATTTAAGCTTTCCCATGAAGAGAGCACTTCCTAATTATAGTTTAATCCAAGAAATTTTTTATTTTTTATATTTGAAATATCGTCAAAGATTTAACTCGATCATTAAAATTAAAAATCTAAACTTTTGTGAACAAATCACACCTTTATTTAAGAAATTATTTGCGAAGCTATTGCCAGTTAGACAAGGTTGACAGAGAACTGAACTCAACGGGTGTGATTGGATGCCAAGGGCTGTTTTCCTTGAAACTTAATTACTGGTCTATCCCTTGATAAATCTCATCACCCATGAAATTAACCTAACTATGCTGCTAAAACAATTGCTAATGTATATACTGGTCATGATTTTGAATCTTTGATATACAGTAGCAATAATTTACCCCTGCTTGGTCACATGATCAGTCTAATTAAAGTTTTATTTAGAGATCAATTAGGAGAGAATTAAGACGGATGAGGTATTTATTGACAGGATCCAACTTACTTTCGGGTGAAGAAAGATTACTAACCAGTCATTAGTTATAGCGTCTTTATCAAGAAAGAGAAGCTTTCTAAAGTCTAAACCCTAATTTTCTTGGTACCTCACATGCAGAGTTTGACCCCATCAAAATTCTTCTCTTTCCACAACTCAAGATTGATATATGTTAGCCTTATTAATGAGATCTTTTCTCCCTTTTTCCCCTTTAATTTCACATGGGGGATCATTTTCTTCTTTCTTGCAGGCGTCAAGACAAAAACCATACATATCCAACAAAAATGAGAGAAAAAAAAAAGAGTACTGTACTACTTCATTTGAGAAAGGCAAAGGCAGGTGAATAAAAGTAAACTAAGTCCAAAGAGACTCTCTTTTGAGAGCTGGATCTTGGATTACATTGCTAGACGAAGCGAAGTTGAGGGATTGGGAGATGTTATCCAAGTTATAATTAGTGGCTAGAGGGAAAGACTTGTCATCTTGTTCTATTTGAGTTGGCATGGCCGGTTCCTGTTGCATCTGAATGCCAAGTATCTCAGCCTGAGCCACCGCAAGCTGCATTTGCAACTGTGATACTTGATTTTGAAGGTAGGATATGGCCCCAACGCATCCATATACCGGGTCTCTCACTCTTGCATTTGCTTCATAAACTAAGCTACTTACCGCATCCGGTCTCTGGTGAACTGGCAGCTCCTATAAGATTTACAAGAAGATATACATTAATTAAAACAAAAAAACTTTTGGTATCAACCATGCATTTCTATTTCTAATAAGGAATGCGCATAGTTCCAAAGACATGCATGCAACAAAAAGAGGAGAAAGCTGAAAGAAACCTGCAACATTTTGCTGACATTACTAGCACCAAAGACTTTGTGAACAATAGCAAACTTGTGAGGGTCATCAGAAGGGAAGTAAGGGGCAAAGATGCAGTCCTTGGCGCATCGACGCCTCAACAGTTTGCAGGAGGCGCATGGTGAAGAACCTCCCATATCTGCAGACTTGATCAAGAAACTAACAAAAGGTATGCAGAAGAGTTTTCTTTGATGTAGAAGGAAGAAAAGTGAAAATATTGTAAAACAACAAAGCTTAGCGTTGAAGAGAATGGAGATTAAAATGGGTATTTATAATGGTTGAGCGGGGTGCTCAACTAATATGGAATGAACCCACATGCTTCATGATTAAAAAAGTGTTTTATGTATTGGGATGGAATTGATGAGGGGAGGCTAAATGATATTAGATAACTATACAAAATCGCTTGATATATGTACATTTGAGTTACACTTATGTCCCTCTCTATAAAAAAAATCATAACTTTATCAAGGGCAATGAGGTCAGTTCAGAAGAGTCCTGGAACAAGATCTCATGGAAAAAAGAGGTGTGAGTTGACCACCGCCTTGGCGCTGGCGTGTGATAGCCTGATAGGTTGTCATTTGTATAGTTCCCCCGTTCTTGTTGTTTGACTCTTCTAATTTTATACTTGAACCAGTAAGAGAGCAAAATTGATTATACTCTTTCATTAATTGGATGCATTTTAAATAATTGTACGTTCCTAAAGAAAAATAATGAACTATTCAACAGAAAACAATATATATAGATGAAAGGAGTATAAAATTTGCATAGACAATGTGTGAACAAATTATATATAAATGTTGCAGTTGAGACAATAATCAGAGTTAGGGTTTGATTAGGGCAAAACCAGTAATAGGATGTAGTGTGAATTGAGAAAGATGTGATATTAACTCTAACCTTAAACCTGGATCCAGACTCCATGAGAAATGAGCTCAGCGTGAATGTTTGGTGGCGAACATTCATGTGCATGGAAACATACATTAACGTCTCTTCTTCTCTCTCTCTCTCTTTCTCTCTCTCTCTCTCTTACATGGTTTGATTAACCTTGCGATTAGGCAGCCATTAATGAATGTTTAGCAACCTAATCGTACACTCAAAAAATATCAGATGCTAAAGAAAACACATAGAATCTGCCTCATCTCTCTTTCTAGAAGTTAATTTTTTAGGGTGTTGTCAGATTCATAAATGACATGCATAAATATTTGAAATTCGAGTTTATAGAGAAACCAACCTTGTAGAATAGCATACAAATTACAAAATAGTAGTTTCTGCTGCAGATTCCTTTTTTGGTGCTTAAAAAAATAGCATCTTACATATTTCAAAACGACTCAAAAGATTATATATAAATTCAATTTGATTTCCTAAAAAGTGTTGATCAATCTATTAAGATGAATGTATCAAGGAAGACTCGTAACAACCAATGCACAAACCAACATGCACCCTTGCGAAGAGCAAATATCAAGAACAAACCCATATTTCAAAGAATCAATTTCTTTCCAAAAGCAATAACAGTTTCAAAGAGATTATTATATAATATAGCAGTATTCAGGCAAGGGGCCATGGCCACTTGATTTCTTAAAATCACCTTAGCATGAGTGTATTTTTACCCAAAAAAATGATAAAATTATATTTTATCCCCTCAAAAAATTAACAATTTGACCTTTCTTTTAGGAACAATTGTAATGATATGATAAATTTCATGAGTTATTAAAGTTTTTACTTGCATATGCAATAAATAATTTTATTTTCTTTACTTTTTCAATAATAAATTTATTATTTTTAATGTAATCATTATTATTTCATTGAATTTTTTTAGTTTCTTAAAATGAAATATTCTTTTCAATTAATTAAAGAAACAAGTCGGCATTAATTATTATATCAAAATATTTCCTTTTATATAGACCAAAAATACAATTAAAAAAATCCACTACCTATATATTATATAGACAAAAAATACAATTAACAGAAAAATACAATTAAAAAAAATTCAACTACCTATATATATATAGAGCACATAAAAAGACAAATTTAATCATACATTATAATTTTTTTTATTATTATAACCAAACATTTCATTCTAAAACTCAAACTTTTAATGTATTACTTTTATTCTTTTTTTTTTTTTTTGAAAAAATCCATACTATGAGGTTTCAAGTAGAAGTAGAATGGGTAAAGTTACAAATTTCATATGTATGTGTCTCACGATTATTAACCTATCATCACTCTATTGCATGCATTGATGGAAATTGGAATATTTTGTTTTCCAAATGAACTATATATAGGAATAACATAAAACAGCTATATATATATATTTATACACACACACATACACACCTACAAGCAATTAATTTCAACCAGTTAAGAGATCCGACATGAAGATGATGTTTAAGAATTATTAAAAATGAAACCAATTTCGAGAGAGATTGAAACAAAAAATATACGAGTTTGTAGAAACCCTAAGAGCTATTTCGGACTGTTGCATTAAATGTCTTCCACATGATTCCAAGCCCTTCTAATCTTGTGTACCGAAAAAAAACAGCTCCCCTTCCCTAGTTGTCATGGCATAAATGTACATATGATAAGACATCAACTTATAATATAATTTTTTTCTTTTCGTTTTACATATTTTTAAATTATTAATTTTAATATATTAAAATGATAAAATTAAACCCTTTTTTTATTTTTACTTATCTCTCTTATCTTTTGAATTTATTAAAATTAAGGATTAAAAAAATATATAATATATAATGTTTTTATATGCACTTTGTTTTATAAATTAACCAAGTTTATGATATTGTTTTAATTAATAATTTAGAGACTAATTTGAACTGAACCAAATGGTATTAAAATTGGGGCCACCCTGTTGAAATTTCTTTTATTGCATTACCTCATAAAACGCGTACCACCGTCTTGGCTTCCTTCCAAGTTTCAAAATCCTAAGCACTAGGGAAAGGAGGAAAACCCCTATGGTCTAGACGGACAGAACCTTGTAAACCATGTTTTACTGCAATATTTTAAGGTAGAGGAAAAAACAGACATCTTTTCCCAATCTTAGAGGCCCATAAAACATGCAAGCTCCGATGCAGACAATAAATGAGTTTGGTGATTTGGAAGATTCGGTTCTCTCTCTCTCTCTCTCTCTCTCTCTCTCTCTCTCTATATATATATATATATATATTGTTTTCAATATTCTAAAAAATGGTTGAGACTAGGAGCAATGTTTGACAATGGAAACGTCTCAAGTGAGGAGCTCAAGCGGAAACTGACCCGAAAATTTCAATTGCTGGAACAGAGTGGTGTTGGATTTCCAACGCAAACAACATATGTGATCGATTCGAAATGTTTATAAGATTCTATTATAAACTCAGTGCAAGAGATAAATAAAATATAATAAAATAAGGCAAGAGAGGAGAAAACAGTAATCAAGCACATGATCAAGCCAACATGATAACATGCTAATACCTTGATGTATTGATAAGTTTTACTTCTAAAATAGTAGTACATTTTTGGTCAGAAAAGGAACAAAGATGAGCTCCAGTTTATGTAAAGATAGAGTTTTTGAGAAGAAGATTTGAATTTTGAGGCTTTGCAGCTTTTTTTTTTTTTTTGGGATCAATTAGGGGCTCTATTTAAGTTTTTTAATATTCCTTTACGGGTATTTATTTTTCTATTAACCTAACTTGTAAACTCTAAAAATATCACCGATAAATGAATTAATTTTTCGTAGAGATAATCACAAGCATCCAAGTCTAAGCAAACCAACTAGTCTGGGCTCGGCATCCAACATGTAATGCAATGACAAAATGGATAGCCAAAGTCGGTCCAATAAATAGCAAGCTTGGGCTAGCCCAGGGAAAGGGCCAATAAATTCCAGCCCATATATGAATATTTTTTGCAAAGCCAGTTTCTGATTCTTTTTCTCATTCAGTGGATGTCTCCAACCTTGATTGCCACCCCATGGCTAACCCAGCAAGGCTTCAAAATGAAAGTTAATCAGAAAGAAGAGTCTTCCACTTATCATTTCCTTGCGCAATAGAAAAGATTGAGAGTGATAAAAGCAATGGCAAGAGACTGACTTTCTATTGGAGAAAAGTGTACCTTAGGAGATATGCTAACTAATATCATTAATTAGATTATTTGTCATACAAATCTTTACCATGTGAAACTAAGAGTAAAAATTAGCAGCATCAAAAGAGAACCTGCAATGTTTTCTCTGGCATGTATGGTTAAGAAACAGACTGCTTGGTGCAAGGAAATTTGGCAGTTGAGTCAGATTCAATACTAATGAGCTGTACCCTTTGGCTTGCTTTCAATTTTCGCTCATTGTGCGTTTTAATGCCATTTCTGTACAGCTTGCTGGCAGCACAAGGTGCTTTCTTACAAGTTGGAGGCTGTAGTTTGCTCTTCTCAGCTGTTTTCTTTCTCAAGTATTTCGCTGTCTGTGCCTGAACTGTAATGACCAAAAGTGCTTAAAACATTCAGGTACAATGAAATCAGATGACACTCACATGCAGCAACAAAAATTAGATACTTTTCATTAATGTCTTATTGCCAACATCAATTCAATGCCAATTATCTGCATACTGAAATGTGATGATTATGTTTGAAGATTTAACATGATATAGTAAATATATACGAGACATACCAGAGTGTGAAGCTGCCAATGTTAGTGCAGAATTCTTAAGATTGTTTATTTTTTCAGTAACTTGCAAATTTTCAAACCATTCATCTGTTTTGGACTCTGCAACACCATTCCTCCCAAGGCATGATAGTGCATAATCACAAGCCTATTGAAGCCAAAATGGAAGAATAAATCCCAAGACTTAGAATTATTTCATAATAATTAATTCTATAACAAAGTGATTCGATACTTCTAAGACGAACAAATTCAATTTTAAATACCTTTGCAGCAATAGCATAAAAACCACTTTCTAGTGATTGCTCCGCAAAATTAAGCCATTCCAGATGTGAAACTTGTAGCCATTGTTGGATTTGAGACTTATGTTCGCGAAGAACCAAAGCCTCGTACCGCAAAGCCAAACAACTCTGAACCAAAACCGAAAAAAAGGGGGGGGGGATTCAAGGAAAGAGAAAATAGTGGATTAGCAATAACAACGCTGTTGATCAAAGAAAATTAAGGATTTTTGTAACCTCGATATCACCGATGATAGCAAAAGCTCGAACAAAGAATTCGAGAACAGAGAGCTGTTGATCTACAGGTTTGGCCGCAATTTGACGAATAACGGAGAGAGATTCAGATCTGATAAACTCTTTCAAGCTTGATCGCATTTGAAAAAGCGATTTAACGTCATTGGAGGCGAGAACTGATTCGAGAATTCGGAGAGAATCGTCGCTGAATCTGCTGAGATCGAACGGAGGAGAGTTAACGTAAGTAAAGCATCGAGACTTTGTTGAGAGAGTGAGTGAAACCTTTTGTTGTTGATTTGGGAGCGGAAGATAGAGATTTGCTGTGCTACTCCGGTGTCCGTCATTTCAGCCAAGAGAATGGAGAGTGAATTGGCGGTTAAGGGATGGTTCAAATATATTCTTTTGGGCCTCAAAGCCCATAAAAGGTGGAAAATTTTTGAAAAAAGAAAGTTACAAATTTTAGTAAGGTTGGAAGATAATAACAAGGAAAAAACAAAACCAGCGACAGAGATTGAAACGACAGCGGATCGGCATGGCCGGCCGCAACAACCTTCCACCGCCGTCAACTTTAACCCGCGCAATCACCGAACGCCACATCATTCCCCACCACCACCTCGAAGACCGAATCGTCATCCAACACCGCGAGATCCAATCCCTTCTCTTCGACAACCAACGCCTCGCCGCCACGCACGTGGCGCTCAAGCAAGACCTTACCTTGGCCCAGCAAGAGCTCCGCCACTTATCCGCCGCGGCTGCCAACGTTAAAGCCGAGAGGGACGCTGAGGTGAGGGAGGTCTATGAGAGGTCACTGAAGATGGACGCAGGAGCGCGTGCTGTTGATGCGATGAGTGCGGAGCTGGCTCGTGTACGGGCGGATGTACAGAAGTTTACGGTGGATTGTCAGGAACTAACGGCGCAATTGGAGACGGTCAACGATGAGTTAGCCAAGGCAAGAACGGAGGCGAAACAAGTGCCCTTAATTATGGCGGATATGGAAGCCGTACGGCAAGAAATTCATAAAGGAAGGTAATTCTCTGCAAAATTTCTTCTTTTTAAACAAAAAATTGTTGGCTTTTCTTATTAATTCTTTTATCATGATGGGCTTTTTCTTTTTCTTTTTATTTGAATATTTTATGTTTGATTGTAATGGGAATTATTCAATTTTCTCTTTTCTATGATGCTTGTAATGAAAAGAATAGTGAATAAATTGTTTGGAAGGCAGGGATTTGAAAAGCAAGTCCTCAGTTTAATGTCTATGACATTTGATGTAAATTAGTGGCTAAGAGAAAGCAATGTAAACATAAGAATGTCTTAGGTTAGGAACTAGTCAAATGGTTCAAATTACTAGAATTAGACATAACTGGCCTTAAGAGTGATTTGGTTTAGGGAATCCATAAATTTTTTTCTAAAATTTTGATGGTAAGTATTTGTTTTTTCCGTCTGGTTTAGGATAATCTGATTACGACGGAAACCAATAGTACCTAAAGTCTCAGAATCAAAAACTCACCTCTCTCTATGATATTTTAAGATACCGGGAAGAAAATTATCTTATTTTCAAATTTTACCTAAATAAAAAATATAACATATTTATTATCTTTTTAAAAAGTAAGGCTAGAACTCAATTTTAGCATTTTTGTATAAAAAATTGACTTATTTTTAATTCACAAATTTAATGTGTGGCAATTAAGCCATTTCTTTGAACAAACGTCTTATTTAAAGCATTCCAATAAGACGTTTCCTTTTACAAACGTCTTATTTGATAGATAATCTTCGAGAATCTTTACAAAAACAAATAAGGCATTGTTTTGAACAAACATCTTATTTGATACTTTTTTCAACATATTTACAAAGCCCATTCAAATAAGACGTTTCTTTTTTACAAATGTCCTATTTGATCGATGATCTTTTATAATCTTTACAAATTCAAATAAGGCATTTCCTTTGAGCAAACGTCTTTTTTGATGTTTTTTTCTAACATATTTACAAAAACAAATAAGGCATTTAGCTCTTCTAAACGCCATAATTGATTTTTCTTTATTTTAATACAGCAATTACAGCTTAATGTCTAGTTAAACGCTGTAATTGGGTATATTTAATTTTAAAATATTAAAATCTTTCTTTTCTTTTGTTGCTAAAGACATTATTTGTCGTTTTAATATTTTTATTAATACAAAATGAAAGGTTGCTTACAGCTTATCAAGAGGATTATGCAAATTATATATGAATTAATAAACCAAGATTCCCCCAATCAAACAAGTGAATTTAATTATGGGATGCCCTAAAAATCAAACAAAACCTTGGGCATCAAATTTTTGTAGGTATCACACTCTCCCTCATAATCCAAAATTCCGTGAACCAAATAGTAGGGTTTGTTGAGATTTGAGAATAAAGGATTTCTAGTTCCATTGAGCTCCTATCATGATGATTATGGATGAGAATGAGTTATACTTTTACCACTCTGGTCCACATCTTTTAGATGAATATGATTCAAGGACACCAATCCATCATGCTACTTCTCAAATATTAAATTATTAGGATTATTGTTCTAGTGATCCAACTAGATTTAGCTTTGAAGATCATTACGTAGGAGGTTGTGGTTGATTGTTCTTGGTTTAGGATGACCTGAAATGCAGTGTATGTAACTGATGATTTTGTCAAGAATGTCTAGGGATTTTCATAAAGCCATTTCTTAATCTGTATTTGAGTCAATTCCAGATTTGTGAATTTGGATTCAACCAACTGCTGATGCTATTATTTCAATATAGATGTTTATTCTGTGTCAATGAGAAGCTCCATCAAAATATAGAAAGTTAAAAGCACAAGAACAAGATAGCAGCCAAGTAGGATGGCGGTGAAAATAAGAACTTACAGTTGAAAGATTATAACCTTCTAACATATTCATTAGTGGCTTTATTTGCATGTAGTTGATGCAAGAGACATTGATGAAACCAGGATATTGTGAGTGAACTTCCACTAGAACGAATTGCGAGCCAATTACTTAGTTTGTAGAGAAGCACCAATTCTCGTTACCTTATAGAAATATGTTTTTGTTTGTGAATAGGACTGCTATTGAACATGAAAAGAAGACACGTGCTAGTAACCATGAACAACGCCAGATATTGGAGAAAAATATCATTATTGTAGCTCGAGAAATAGAAAAACTACATGCCGAGCTTGCTAATGCAGGGAAGAGAGCAAGGACGGGAGCTACTGCAGCAGCAACAGCAAACCCAAGTAATGATCTCCTCTTCTCTTGTTCTCTGGCAAATATAATCTTTAACTTCCTCGTATCAATTCTTGACATTTTTATTATTTGCACTTAGACCCTTCATATAATGGAAACTGTGGAAATATTGATGCCAAGTATGGAGGAAGTTCGTATCCCGCTACATATTCTATGCCTCCGGTATGTTTTTGCAATCTTAGTGTCATTTTCTGTTTTGGACTCAGACCCAATGAAATTTAAGAAAGAAACTGAACACGAGTTTTTATTTTTGTTTTTCGAGGTAAATGTGTGTATAACCTTTTCTTATATTTCTTGATTAAATGATTTTTACTTTTATTATTTGCACTTCTACCTTCACCATGGTTTAAGAGCCCGTCAATGAAAAATGTTTATTACACTTTTTTTCCTTTTTGACCGAAAAAATGCTCAAATACTTGATTCCAGGCTGGTGCTGGTCCGCAATTTGTGCCTGGAACGATGCCCGCTGTGCATTTAGAGGGCCAAGGATCCCATACACCTAGTGCGAATCACACTGGTCGACAATTGGTGTCGGAGGCAGTTTCTAACGTTCCTCGTGAAACCCAAGTAGTTCATCCATAGGCATTTTAAAATTGTATATAAAATCCAGACGCTGAAATTTCTTTGGGAAAATTTTCCAACCGAAAGAGCGAGTTGCAATATTTCTTTTGCAGCTGGAAAAGGATAGAAAATGTGCACGTGCATATTTATCTGTTGCTTCCAAAATGAAAATTTCAAGGTACTGCACTCAGCTTGAAATCTGACCGATTTATACAATGCATTATCATTCATATATATTTGCAAAATTAGGTAATATCTTATCAAACCGCTGGGCAGTGGGCAACCATGTATAATAATAATAACAAAGAAGGAATTCAATTGACAACATTGAAACATTTTTTGCTCAACAAAACAATGGAGTTAAAAGCATCCATTAAGAAAGGTTTGAGAAAATTTTTGTTGGCAGAATACAAAGAAATAAATGTAAACAGTCCTTGGAAAAGGAGCAAAATAACATGCCCCATCACAAGGTGACGTAATCCTTCAGCTCACAGCGACAATCAGATCATGAAGAAAAGCAAACTCTCAACAACTCTCCAGCCATTATTCTGCAACTCTTGTCACACTAGAGGAATGTAACAGCAGCCAAACCAAGTGTGGTCCATCAAATGCTATCAACCACTTAACCGTACGCCAACCATTTATTTAGTAAAACAACCAAGTATAAAATAGCATTCAGTACATTCCAGCTATTGCCTTAGTTAGCAACACGTGGCAACAATTCAATCCTAAAACCAAACCAATATCATAAGATTAAAGCATAGGACCTAGTATTATGAAATAGTTTAGAATAGATATGCTCATGCTGCCATATAAGGATCCAGATCAAATTCTTCATTTGCCCGAGGGAATAATTATCTTGAGAATTCAAAAGTAACAACTTTGGCAGTCACTAATAGCATCTAGTTTCTAGCATGGGATGCTAAATCCCATCACCTTTAATAGCAAGAACAGTTTTCAATATAAAGGGTAACCATGCATGCATATAATTCACAAGCTTGTTCCACCACATGGAATGAATGAGCAGACAGGCAACATAATCAAATCCACCACTAAGGGTTAATTTCCAAACAAAAGGGTAAATGTGTCATTTGGAAGAGCAGCACTCACCTGAAATTATCAACCTACCTTAGCAGCAAGCAATTTGGAGTTAATCCGCTTGCCTCTATAAAAAGATTCACACAAATTCAATCAACCCAACGCCTAGAATAAAAACCCCTCCAGCTCACAGTAGACAAAGAAGGAAGGAGAAAAAGGGGTATTGCTCAGACAATTGAACAACCTACCTCTTAGTCTCCTGTTCAAGAACAACCCTGTGAATGGAACACAACTACAATCCTTAAACCACAATTCTTAGTACATAAAATACTCGAAGCTGAAAATCTCTCAGTATGGGCGTGAACGGTTTCCACCATAGTGATGTCTATCTGGCCCAGAACCTCCATCTCTGTAATTATCCCTGCGCCTGTCCCCACCACCCCCGTAGCCACCTTTACCACCTCTGTCAAATAAAAAAAAATTAATCCAGTTTCAAGAAAACAAAATTTATTAAGCAAAGAACAATTTGACTTGGTAAAAAAAAAAAAGAAAGAAATAATTTCAGGTAATCTTTTCTATTGTTCACTTCCACAGTGACAAGCACAAGGGGCAGATTAACACTATCATATGCAAACCATACAAAATGTTTCAAAGACAGGACCAGCAAAAACATAGGCCGTTAACAGTAGCTACAGGTGATCATTTGAGAATTTGGTTTCAAAAATAAATTAAAGAAAGCAAAACCTTATAAGCAGGAATTCAACATGGCAACAAACGATATAGGTGGAGAAAAAAAAATGCCTAGGCATCATATCTTCATAAATTATATGTTGAAACAAAGCATCTAAATGCAATATAGATGAAAATAATCCAAAGAAAAGCCATAAGGATCATCTAAATCATTTCCTGTCAGGAAAACGCATCTAAATGGAACATGCTATAAGTTAGATAATCCAAGGGTTAAAATGATACCCATGATCATATCCTTTAAGTGCAGTCTTCTCTGCCATAGCCACACTGATTGTATGGCCTCTCATGACGTGATCTGAGTGAAAAGGTTCCACAAGGATGAGGAAAAATATTGAAGACAATAAACTAAATGAAGAAAGTTTTTAGGTAAGTACTGTTAAAGAAACCGCCAGCAGAGTGAGCAGCCTGAGGATCTTCATAAGATAAAACTGCATCACCTTTCTGGTTTCCCTTCTCATCTGTGTATATTTTAATATTCCACGGCCACTGATCTTTATAGCCACGCTTCTGCTTAATTCTTCCAACCTAAACCAGATGTGAATTGTTAGAATGCTAGTGATGATACCACAAATTCATGCAAAATTTAAAAAACCAAAACAAAACAAAGCAAAAAAAAAAAAAAATTTGTCAATAAACCGCCATACATTAAAATGCTCTCAACTCATGGAACAAGAGAAGAAAACAAATTTCAAAGAACAATTATCATAAACCAACAGATACCAGCTCCGGAAATAAAACAGAAACACCAGGATGAAGTAGATGACAAAAGTCCCATTAGACAGCACATTGACTTAAAAGATAAGAATTAGCCATTACTTGTCCAATGCCGCCAAAAAGGTCTCTTAATTCTTCAACAGTAACATCAGGTGGCAAATTTGATATGTATATTCTTGAGTTGTCACAAGAATCTGCACAGTTGCCGTCGCACTGCTTGACCTTAACTGGTGCATCAGCGGGAGGGCCACCATAACCACCTCCCTGATGTCGAGGACCACCAGACCCATACCCACTTTCATATCCACCAGAAGGTCCACCCCGACCACCAGTCCTGACATCACTCAAATTGTCACCACCATAACCACCTGCCGAACCACCATAAGATGGAGGGAATGATGTGGGTCCACCAGTATAGCTTGCAGGTGGAGGAACTGCATCCGTTCCATAATTTGCATTCCCACCATATGCATTAGGAGCGGGTGGATAATTGCCACCAGCAGCACCACCATAAGAACTGGGCGCTGGAGGACGAACTTGACCATACCCACCATCTTCCCTCCCTTGACTACCTCCATAAGAACCACCTCTACTACCACCACTTCTATTATCATAATTTCCACCTCTGCCCCCATCATAGTTGTTATTCCTCCCACTATCATAACCACCTCTATTCCCATCTTCTCGACCTCCCCGATTACCACCATATCCCCCACCACTACCTCCTCTGTTATAACCACCACCACCACCACCACCACTACCACTACCACCAGCACCCGCAGGAGAGGGTGCACCGCATTTGTTACACTCAACTCTTCTTGCAAAGTTCAAGTTCCCACAGCTACATAGACATTTAACAGTTTAAATTTCACAAATCCAGACAACTAGCAGAAATATCCATATATCAGCAAACCAAAACTTAGATGTTTAAGACTAATAAACTGTACAAAACCATAACAGGGGGGAAGAAAACATCCCCCAGTTGCAAATCAAAAGCAGAGAAAAGATAATTTACCCGGGGTTCGGGCAAAGCCAATCACCATCTCTGCCACCTGCACCACGGCCACCACCTCTTCCACCGCCACCTCTTCCACCACGCTCTCCTCCTTGATAGCCTCCACCACCTGCATAATCCAGATCCAATTTATTGAAAATAACAACAAAGGTATAAAGCCGATCGATCTTGAAAACCCAATAAGACAACAGTGAGAAAACTATAGTCAAAAACGCTAGCCCACAACTCTAACAAAATATATATATTAAGAAGAAAGAAATTTACCTCGATTTTGAGGATTACCACCATATCCTCCACCGCCTGCTCTGCCACCGCCACGGCCCCCGTGACCTCCACCACGTCCGCCTCCGCCGCCACCATAACCACTGTCCCTTCCATAACCTCCAGAACCGCCGCCACCACCTCCACCTCCCCCTGCGTAACCTGCACCGCCACCACCATAGCCACCAGCACCGCCATACCCACCACTATATGAAGGCGGAGCAGCTTCGTCGCCGTCTTGACCGTACATACTTTTAACGATGTATCTAGGGCTTTTTGTTTTCCTTATTCCTCCTAAAGGAGAGAGAGTGAGAGAGAGAGAGAGAGAGAGGGCGCAATAAAAATTGTGTGATGTGAAATAGAAAGGCCGTCCTGTTAGTCTACGAGACGAGATTTTTTCTATTCCTTTCTTTGTTTTAAGTTTAACCAAACGCGGGACAAGATTTTCCCCTCGTTTCTTTTTGTGAGGTGGCTCGCATGCAAGTCCTTGAACCTTGATCTAACGGTTCTGATTTCTGCGCGGAAAAACAGTCGGCCTACACTTTGAGCAAAGATCCAGATTTTAAAGGGCTTAAATGATGGATCCTTTAATTGTTTAATTTGAGGCCCATTTAGTTTACCAACCCAGACAGGATTTGGGCCCTTCCGTTTTCGGATAATAACTGGGCTGTTCGTAGGCTGTTGATTAATTTTAAAAATAAATTATCTCCTTCACCTCCAATAAAATTTCGATCGATAAGACTAGAAAGATGATATATTACATGTTTAGGTATTTCAAAAAAAAAAAATAATTAATAAATTAAAATATAATTAAATAAATTTAATTTAAAATTGGATGAAACTTATGTACGGATAAGACTTAAACTTAAATTTTTTAAATTTTCTCTAAACAAAATCTCGTTAGCTTTATCAATGAAATCTCAATAAAAATTAAAAATTTTATCAACTAAATCTTAATAAAAAAGAAATGTAATAATTAAAAGTAATTACATATTATATATACAGTTAACAATTATATAATTTATTAATAAAATTTTAAATTTAAATTTTAAAATAAATATATTTATTCAATTAATTTTAAATTAAATTATTCAAAAATAAATTAATTAAATTATTTTATTTTATTTTCATTAATAGAATCGAATTTATTAATTTTAATAATTAATCGATTAAATTTAATTCAATCATTTGATTCATTTTTTTAATTAATCAAATAATAAATATTTTTAAATTAAATCATATTTTAAATTTTTAATTTATTATATTTTAAATAAAATTATTTAATAAAATATTTAAATATTTAAATATTATATTAAAAATTATAATAATTTTTGAAATAAAATGATTTATTTTATATATTTTTTATTTTATATTTGAATTTGTTTATATTTCAATTAAAATTTTAATTAATTTAATTTGCAAATCAAATTAATCAAAAACTTTTTTTAAAAAAATTATTTTTATTAATTAATTAAAATCAATTTAATAATTAATCAATTTAAATCAACCCAATTATAAACGTTTATCTCTCCACTACTTAAATAAAGAAACTAACGGATAAACACGGGCCCAGACACATCTCGTACGTAACGGGAGTCGACCTACCTTTTCAAAAGCTACTTACTACCAATCGTTTTTAACCGAGATAAAAGCGAAAAAAATAAAAGAAAAAAGCGAAAAAAATAGAAGAAAAAGAGATTCTGAACTTCAAGCATCAAAACTCAACAGCAGTCACTCAATCTCCATTAGAAGAACAGCGAGGAGAATCGGTTTAGAGATGTTAAAGCAGGGAGAGGTAGTGTGCGTCACCGGAGCCAGCGGCAGCATAGGTTCTTGGCTCGTCAAACTCCTCCTTGCTCGCGGCTACACTGTCCATGGGACCGTCAAAAATCTCGGTTACTTCATTTTCATGCTTTGCCAAATGTTTCTTCATTTCCAGTCAAACTTAACTAACTTTAATTTTGGTGCTAATTTCATGTCCTCAACTTTTTCGCTGTCGCAGAAGATGAAAAGGAGACAAAGCATCTAGAATCTCTGGAAGGAGCGGAGTCACGTCTCCGCCTCTTCCAGATCGATCTCCTCGATTATGATTCAATCGCCACCGCTATCAACGGCTGTGCTGGCGTCTTCCACCTCGCGTCTCCCTGCATCGTCGACCAAGTTCAGGACCCTCAGGTATACGCGTGCTCACTTAGTCAAATTAGTGTTATCTTCAGCTTTAATAGCAGATTATATATTACTCTGATGTTTATTTAACAGAAGGAGCTTTTGGATCCTGCAATTAAAGGAACGCTCAATGTAATGACAGCTTCCAAAGAGCAAGGGGTTAAGCGCGTGGTTGTCACGTCTTCCATCTCCGCCATTACCCCCAGCCCCAACTGGCCAGCTGATAAGGTCAAAGCAGAGGATTGTTGGTCTGATATCGAGTACTGCAAGCAAAATGAAGTAACTATTTTCTCTTTTTCTCCTTTTTTAACGGCTATCTTATTGTGGACCTTGTAAGGAAACTATGGGACTAATAAATCGTGGATTTTGGTCATTGTTTGGTTGAGCTAGTTATGGTATCCGATTTCTAAATTACTTGCTGAGAAAGCAGCATGGGAATTCTCCAAGGATGAAGGTTTGGATGTGGTGGTGGTGAATCCAGGCACTGTGATGGGTCCTAATATTCCTCCAACCCTCAATGCTAGCATGTTACTGCTGTTACGCCTTCTGCAAGGTAATAGTCTTCACAAACTACATTGTTATTAGTTGCATTTTCTGTTCAAATGGGCAAAATTGAATTATGATTCTGTAGGTCTATGTGTTGCATTTTATCAATGCAAATTTCATCTCTCGGGATGTATGAAATTTTGTGTTCTTAGTTTAGTAATTGATTTCAACAGAGTCAATATTAGTTTTGTTTAGGTAGATGTAACGATTTGGTTTATACCTGATTAGTTTGAAGCTTCATTGTCAATCACTCTGAAACGTTTTTTGCTTAGCAATAGTAAAACTACCTCAAGAGAGTAATTACAGTATTTTTGGATGCTGAGTGACATAGTGGTTGTCCGTTTTGCACCATAGTTCTCTGTGATTCAAAAATGAAAATGTATTATTAGCATGAGATCGATGCAAATTAACTTCTTGTTAAAAGAATAAGCTGTTATCAGGCATCAAACAATGTGCATGGGAAAGTTTAACGCCAACATACACTACTAGTTTGCCTTACAAAATGGCATTTAACAGATAGAATTTCAGTTTTGTGTCAAAAGTATTACCAATTCTGATCATGTGATTGAGCCTGAAATAAATGTGTTTACATTGGATCATAACTCATGAGTCTGCTGCTATTGGATATTTTCTGTAAAGATTTGAGTTGGGTGGTCTGCATATAAATAGTCACTTTTCTCTGGCATTTTTTACTGTTATGGAAGCTAGAATATAAAAGTGTTTCTCTTGTTGCAGGCTGCACTGAGACATATCAGGACTTTTTCATGGGATCTGTCCATTTCAAAGATGTTGCCTTAGCTCACATTTTGGTGTACGAGAACACATCAGCAACTGGAAGGCACTTGTGTGTTGAAGCTATAACTCATTATGGTGACTTTGTGGCCAAGGTTGCTGAACTTTACCCTCAATATAATGTGCCCAGGTAATAAGTTCATGCTTTATGCACCCATAAAAGTAATGCACTTTGGTGTCTTTCTTTAAATTTTCATCGTATAATTTGATTATTTTTCACAGATAACGCTATTGCAGCCTCCAAATATTGTCTCCCTTTCTTCTTTATTATTAATATAGGTGCCATACCTTGTACTCACTGTCTCAATATTACCTTGAAATCCAAATTTATGTGCATCTCTATGTAGTTTGCCGAGGGATACTCAACCGGGACTGTTAAGGGCTAGGAATGCATCTCAAAAGCTGATGGATTTGGGCTTGGAATTTATTCCCATGGAGCAGATTGTCAAAGATGCTGTTGAGAGTTTAAAAAGCAAGGGCTTGATTTCATGAATGTAACTTAACGTAACTTTTACTCTGTAATCTCAATCTATGTTGTATATGGCTACGAGCCGATGACTGAAGACATGTATAAAGAGTTTGAGGGGAGAGAGTGAATGAAACTATACTTTAGATATAATATTTAACTAGTTTTAAATTTGTGTAATGCACAGAAATATATTTATATATTAATAAATCTTATATAAATATAAAAATAGTGTGCCGGCTATATCAATAAATATATTCACCAAAGGTTTGTGTTCATCCAACATCTTAAGAAGTTTATTTACTGTCTCAATATCGAGGTCACTTTGAAAATTATTAGATTACATGACACGTAATTTGTTGGAGATTTCTTTTTCCATGTCATTCATGTAAAATTGCACAAATTTAGGAGTTTGGCTTTCTCTAGGCAACAAAGATCCAATTTTATGGTGGTTTTGCTCATCGATGCGATGGACATAAGGTCCATTTCCGTTAATGCCTTTAGTCAAAGTGAAAGCAAATATAAAGTTATATGTCCGAATATTCTCTTTGAATTGCTTGGAATGTCGACCTCTATTGTAGTCTAACTACATAGTAAGAATATAGATTGTTGTGGCTTTTTTTTTTTTCACCATACGTAAGTGCATAATTCAGTTGGATTTTCAAATTTCAATACATCAAAAATATTTCTTACAAAATAAAATAAAATTAGCATCAAAATTAATGTATTAACATATCTTTCAATTAAATAGTAATTCAAAAAATATAACTTACTTTTGTGCGTATTTTCTCTGACAATTGATTCAATAGTTTTTGTCTCAATGATTTTTTTAGTATCTTTTATCCATTAAATTGAAAATTTGAATGTTAATATGGTGTGTTGTGTATATATATATATATATATATATATATATATGTGTGTATGTATATTATATGTAATAAATAATAATAATACGGTAACAATATAAAATGTACTTTCTAAAATATGATCGTCAAATTAATGTTTAATCATAGAATTATTGTAAATTATTCAACTTCTCATATCTTGAGGGGACAACAATGAATGTAGAGTCGTGTTATTTGCAATGTTGGATGCATCTTGTAGAACCTTGTCAGAATTTGTTCATGTGCTAATAGAACCATTTCTAATAGGAGTATACGAAGATCTGCTATGTTGAATTCAATCTTGAGAATGGCTGCTTGTATTGATTATATTGTTTTGCAGGTAAGGATTATAATTTGAGTGAATGTTCTGTGTCAATGACGATAAAATTGTTGCCTAAAATGTTTTTGATGTTTTGTGTTGCTTGAGTATTTTTTGATTGATATTTAGAGCAAGTTCTAACATCCATGGTAGAATATGACCTTGAAAATCTATTTTCGAGTGTATGTGGCGTAATATGTTGTGAACATTATTTTTGTGTTAAAATTGCCCTTCTCCTTTACTTACTTAATCTTGTGTCCATACTACATATATAAACCTAATTTAGTATCAATAAACTAC